GATAACAAAACGGCCACTTCTGTTTTGTTTATTTTTTGTAATAAGAAGGTATACAAATTAATAGTTGACTTAAGATGTAAAACAACATTGATTACTTGATTATTTGGATATCACGAGATGGTATGACTTAGGTTTTTGAAAATAATTTTCTTTGCGTGCCAACGTTTCGACCTTTATTGAGATCATCTTCAGGGCTCAAAGTGTTTGTTTTCTGTGTAGATGTGTCATTCTTGAATGTCGTGTCGAGAGTGCCTAGAGAGAGTCTGTGAGTCGGTCTTCTGGAATATACAATAGTAGACTTAAGATGTAAAACAACATTAATTACTCGATTATTTGGAGATCGTGAGATGCGGTCTGGTGTGACGTAGGTTTTAGAAAAGCATTTTCTTTACGTGCCAACGTTTCGACCTTTATTGAGATCATCTTCAGGGCTCAAATTGTTTGTTTTCTGTGTAGATGTATAATTGTGTGTCGTGTCGTGGTCTAGAGAGAGCCTGTGAGTCGGTCTTCAGGAATATACAATAGTCAAGTTAATTGCCATTGCTTTATTTCGAGAAAAGTTACCGAAAAAATATGTATGAAGATGTTTTACACTCTGAAAAATGTATAAAACTGTAATTTTGAGAAATCTGTAATAAGACCAAAACGTACAACGTAGCAGCAGACTTTTTGTATCCACGTCATCAAATATACATGCCCTTTCCCTGATGACTTTTTTCGCCTGGCCGAAAGAGAAATTTTACGTTTTTATTCACAATTTTTTGTCGTTTCAACTATTTGTTGAAAATGTTCATTTTATTGGGGGATTTTGCATAACGTAAACATGAACGGTAACGCTAAATTGATTCAACTGCATTTGGTATCTCTAATTTTTTGTCTTACGTGATTATTAACGGTGTACGGTAAACCCAACAAAATGTTTTTATTATTGGTTTTATCGTCTAACTTAATAATAATAATAACAATAATAATAATATTAATAATAATGTACATATAAAAAAATAATAAAATTGGTTGTTTTATGCAACAATTCATTTTACTTTTTTTTGAATTTTACAATTCGTGCAAATTAGCATGAATCTTGACACCAAAGAAAGTACATTTGGTGTTCCACCTTAAAATATTTAGTCGTTTGATAAAACCAGCCTTTCCGTGCACGCGAATAACGAAATGTACTTTATACATTATTTTACAACAACTGTATGGAAAAAAAGGCATTTGACACGTCGGAATCACCCCATAATCACGACGTGACGAGCTGAATCCTTCATCATCGGGGTGGAATGGGGTAAATCCTCGGCTAAAGACAGATTAAACAGGTCGCCGACAGACGCTGAAAATCACGTTGAACATATAGAAGCGGCTAAAATTATCAATCCACCTCAATATTTATTGAAACATTTATAGGCTGAAAATTCAGGTATATTTAACAATAATGGGCGTGTAATTTGATAAATAAACAATGTAGAAATGATGTTTTTTTATTAGTGAAATTAAAACTAAGTGAAAGCCGACAAAATCTTCTGAAAATCCTACTTTTTACTTACATTCATTATAAGATTTTGTTAATTAAAAGAAATAATTATAATCGTCCTATTCAATGTTACATATAGTACAGAATTGTTAACAAAACACCGACGTTTTTATTTCTCTGGCACATTGTTCAATCGCTATGATTTCAAACTGGAAAACGGTAGCATACTTACCTAGGCTTACCGTCAGTTCGATCTTGCGGTTCATCCGAAAGACCTCAGTAGGTATACCAGTAGGAATTTGCCTCTAGTGTTGTTCCTTTGGCCCATTCTTCCCGTTCTGGTATCAGTACTTTGTACTTGTTGGTAAAGTTGTACTTTAGAATAGTGGCATCAATTGGCATACTTAAAATGGCATCTGCCTGTATCCCTCAGTTTCCATTGTTTATTCACATGGCCGATAGTCCACAACTCCGACTGAGACACCGATGACCTCGTGATCTCATCTTTAGTGATAGCGAGTAACAACCGATGGTTTTCTTATATAACACTTCAATTTATTTAGAAGAAACAACGTTTTGATTTAGACTTCTTGATTAGATCTACAATGGCTAGGAAAAAGGGATGTCCACATTGAGAACAGAGAAAGCTAATGGATTCTTATATGAGAGAGGTAAAAGTGTGGGTTCATAAACAAACGTGCGTAAGAAAAGTCTTAGCTCACAGTGGATTGTTTTGAAAGTAAGAACTTAAGAAGTGAGCATCTGTCCAACTCGGTTTTCTTTATATCTGACAAATAATGTTACTTTGTTTTTAAAGGATAAAATTCCTGTTTTCTTACAATAAAAACATAGATTCTTTATAAAAATAGTAGAAATAAATCCGTTATACGCAGTGGTTTGATTGACCAAATTACTTCTTTCAATTAATCTTTTTACCTCCAGGTCCTCTTCGCCGGTCTCCGTGAATCGGGCTACCAGGTCGCAGTCAAAGCTCCCCACCGAGTCCCGGATGGATCGAGTCTCCGGCCGGACGTCGTTCCCACCGACGAGGATGGGATAGTTGTCCTACCGTGGCGTATGAGACCGCGGGCGCGTTGGACGCGGTGGCGGACTTCAAGGCGGAAAAATACGGGGTGCTGAGGGAGGCCCTCACGGAGCTGCGCGAGAAACGCAATTTTCTGGCGGCTGGTGTGGTAGTGGGGGCAAGGGGATGCATCCCTGGGCGGACCAAAGCGACCCTCAGGGACCACGGCATAAAGGAATTGCCAAGGATGCTCCTCATCCTCTCCCTAACAGCCTTGAGGTCCTCACACTCCATAGCCTGCGGCCATATGGATCGGGAGCGAAGCTTCTCAGCAACCCGACCAACGACACCGGCCGTTGGGCAAGCCCAATAGATGCGACTGACCTGGCAAGTTTTACGGAACTCACGACTGGACCTAAGGTGCGGACGAAGATAGTGGGAAGGTGGTCCGCACCTGAGGATGTGAAAACCGGCAGAGGCCGGAAAGAGGTTATATATTTAAGTTTAATAAAAAAAAATATAAAAAAGGTATAGATTGAAACAAAAAACCCAGTGTCACTAGCGGGATTCGAACCCATGATCTTCGGCTCAATACGCCCCTGCTCTAGTTATAAAAAGAACAAATCTTTAGAACTCCATATGTGAGATAAAATGTTTAGGGAGAATGTTGGTCTGACGTTTGTGAACATGTGCTGAACGGGCACAGGATTTGTCTATAGTCGCGGGTTTGGATGTCACTGAACATTCTTCTAATCTGAGGGCACTTTCCATTTCAGATAAAGCAGTTTCATCATATTTCCTTTCTATTATTACTAATAAGTCATCGGCATAGCCAATAATAAGAGCCTATTTAGAACTACAATCAAATCAGAAACCACAGGATTGGGGATTGTACGCACGCTTGGGCTATCCTTGTTGTAGTATTACTGTGATTGATGCCCCAATATGAAGGTTTCTATTTCTCGACTTTTTAATAGTTATCATCTGGAGTCTATGCCTTTTTACTAACTGCTGCTTCAATGGATTCATGTGAGGTGTTATCAAAAGCCCTTCCATGCCAGCTTCTTTGCCTCCAAAATAACATACAGAGTAATCCATATTGCATGTTATATAGAATATTTTGATCTCCAGATTTCTTTATAACCACCTATCAGTTGTAAACCTGGAATCATAATAATTATTTAAATATTGGTCAATCTTATGTAAAAAAGATATAATGATTTGTTACTGATTTTAAAACTATCGACCGCCAAATCGGTCAAATTACACGATCCATAATAATAACGTTACCTCTGTGTTTTTACTGGTTTTTCTTGTCTTTCATACGTATTTTTCAGCTATTTCCTAGAACGCTAGCTTCTCATTTGTACCTCAGGTTGTCAACTATAGAATAATACGTAAATACGGGTATAAATGTCCACAAAAATAGAAGTCTGGTCACATTCACTCCTCCAGAGTACTCGATAATCCTCCGGCGGGGTTAAGCAACCCCTTCCATTTAGGCTAATAAATAACTCCATTTACGTTTTACTGGTCAATTGGCCAAGTGACTTCTTTCAATTAATTATACTTTTTATGTAAGGTCTTTGTTGAGATAAAAAAGTCAGTGTCACGAGCGGGATTCGAACCCACGACCTTCGGCTAAATACGCCGCTGCTCTACCACTTGAGCTATCGTAACTCGTCACAGTCGTCACGATAGCTCAAGTGGTAGAGCAGCGGCCTATTTAGCCGAAGGTCGTGGGTTCGAATCCGGCTCGTGACACTGACTTTTTTATCTCAACCAAGACCTTACATTACATTCATTCCAATAAATTAACAAAGACACAACACAAACACACACAAACTCTATGTAATTTCTATTTCTATTCTATTCTCTATGTAACTCTATAGTTATATGTGCCCGCAACGTTATACTTGTATGACCTATGCGTAGTCTTGTCAGTATGGCCTGCTCCCTAATCGACCCGTTTTCCGTGTACCGTGTCTTTCTTAACCTGCCACAGTTTGAGTTGCATATTTTTTATTAATTTATTAATTATACAATCAACAGTATAAAGTATTAACAATTTTTGAAATAAAAAAATAATGCCATATTTATGAACTGTTTTAAAAGTCAGAAAAAAATTAATTGATTTTTGAATATGTGGCGTTTTTGATACAACGTCCTGGTTGGTATTTATTTTACAAAATAATCTTTTATATATTACGTACAGCATTTTCTAAAAGATCAATTCAATCCATGGATGTTGCTTAAACAAAATTAAAAATATAAAATTACAGCGATGAGTAGTTATTGTGTATTTTATTTGTACCACTTTTAAACGAAAATTGAAACAAATAGTCGTTCTACAGAGATGTATTAGGCTTTAGATTACTGTCAACCGGAAGTTATGATTGATGCAGAGATGGGATCTTGATTAAGGAAGCGATGGCGTGGGGAGCGGCCATTTCCACCCATGCTTACCCATCTATTGACCGATTTTTTTTTCTTTTGTTCTAGCACCTCATCCAACGACTTAATATCCAGGCGTGGAGTTTTCAGCAGACGGCATTATGGGAGCGTCGAATTGGTAAGTCAAGTTAAAATGTGCTAATTTGTATAGGCTAAGTGTTTTGATATGGATAAACAGCAGAAAAATATGTAAGAAATCCAACTAATTAAATATCGTAGAGACAAGGAAAATTGTTAAACTATTTTTATTTCATTTAAATTTTTTCAACTTATAATTTCTTTGTTTTGACCTCACTCTCCAGTAAGCCTACAACCTAGACTTAAAAAGTATTCTCTCGTACTACCTCCAGTGAACTCGCTTTTCAACAAGTTTCTTTCTACACTCTCTCTCTCATTCTCTCTCTTTCTCCTTTCCTCTCTTTCTCGTTCTTTTCTTCCCTATCTGCACATAGGTCTATCTTTGTGTGCACGTTTTATTCTAATCTCTCAGCCATCAATACGCTGTTCACATCTGATAAAAGAATGGACGATGATACAATACTCGGTCGTCCTTAAAAGGACAAAGGATCTTTAAAGTCCGCACCAAGCCGATTAGGCCTTATCAGACGTTTTGATCCTCAAGATGAGAGCTGACGCATCTCCGCATACGACAGAAGGTGTTACTGCCGCAGCATTTTTGTAGAAGCAGCTCAGCCCCGAGGAGCCAAGACAACCTCGCTCCCCGCTTGTCATTTCCGAATGGCCGGGTCTGCATTGAGCATCAGACGGTATGCCGCGCGCAAAGGGCTACCTAAGCCGAAATACATCAGCCTGGTCTCCCGCGCAATCCCTAGATAGAGAAGGCATCTCCCAGAGTACTGTGGCTCTTCTCCCTGTCATTGGAAAATCTCTCTATTTGCAGCACCCAATTTTCGGCTCTCTTGACTCGGATTAATTCCCAACACCGCAGTGAATGTGCTGAACGTGCCATGAGCTCGGTGGACCTTTCATTATGTAAAGAATTAAGGATTCCTCCAGCGTTGTTGTTTGGCTGAAAAAGCCAAATATTAAAGGTTACTCTTTGGTTGTGCTGCGTTGATTTTTTAAAATGCGCTGTGAGGTTGTTCAGCTGAACTCGGCCGTGTGGAATAGGGGTGAGCCAGGCTTCTGTTCGCTTTGCAGTTCGCATGCCCTCGAATCTGTTTTTCATTTCTTGGCAGAGTGTTCAATTCTGGGTAAGATCCGCTTGCTTCACCTAGGTTGCTTCACTTTATCAAGGAGTGAACTTCTGGGTTTCTTGGAGGGTTCAAGATCAATATAATTTTAGTTTTTATTACATATCGTGTTTGAACTGGCATTTGATTCTTCATGTCAATGTAGATTTTGATGGCTTGTCTGATCTTCTCCCTCAGACCTTCACGTAGGTTTCCGCTTTCTGCGATGACTTCATTCAATGGAGATGGAGCTCTGGAAAGAAGCGTCCGAAGAGCACGAAATCTTGAAACCTTCCCTGACACCTGAGTCTGTTAACTTGACACGCTAGACACCACGGTCTACTAGCACCGATCAACAGGTACCCATGCGTCGCAAGTGTATGACCGATCTGCAGGCGGGTCAGGACAACGCTTTCCCTTCGGGATAGCCCCTCCGGGCTCACCGGTCGACCGTCCGCTTGACGGGGCACAAGCGCGTCAATCGAGTCGGCCCAACGACGCTTCCACATTTCTAATATTATATTTTTTACTATTCTCTTCGCGTCGTCAGGCCTAATTGGGGTTATCTCAATATCATCACTGTGAGGGACGAGAGTACCCGCCATCGCGGCCAGTCCTGGAATCCAGGCTAAAACCACCCTTTTCCCGGAATTTATATATATATATATATATATATATATATGATTTCTCTCCCTCTCTCTCTCTCTCTATCTCTTTTTTTTAATGCATACAGAATTTTCATTGTTTTAACACGGCGACCTACGGCAGACGGATTTTGCGATCAATTGTATTTTTACTGTTATGTTATTCTCCTCTTTTGGTTTGTATTATAAGTAAAACAGTTTTTTTCATTCATATTTTTTATTCATTAGTATATAAACTGAAAATCTTTATCTGTCTTTGTGTATCAACCATACACCTACACTAAACCCTATCACATACTAAACATGTCACATAATGGTAATAGATCTGCTATTTATTTGCATCTTGAACTTTTTTTATAGAGTACTTATTTCCTCGGAAAATGACCGCCGGCTCTCAGGCAATTTCAAATTCCTGGACTTTGTCTGGTCGGGAAACTTATCGGCGACAGGGAACTGGCGCGGCAGTGGATTTTCTTGTTTTCCTTCGTTTCTCACCGACTCAGCGGGGCGTTATGGATTCGAGGCGTTTTTCCTTCTTAACTCCTATGAATTTACTCCCTGCCCGTTTCCATTACGTGAGAAACAGCAAGCGAGCAATTTCCAGACCCGGTCTTTTGCCGCTTTCTCAGCGTGAGTTTGAATCAACACACGCATTAAAACTCGATTAAATCAACCCTCAGACGCGCCCTGTCGCCTCCTGTTTACATTTGAAACTGACTTGAAAATTGTTTAACGCAAGTTTTCATCTGAAGACGTCAAACCGATTAATGGCCTCTATTTCAGAAACAAATCGGTTTTACCAACCTCCCGTGCATGGAATAATTGGGTGAAATAGAGATATTTTTAATACGTTATATTATCTGAGGTCATTTCGATCAATAATATTTTGTGTATGTTGCTTAATTACCCCGACGTCAACGAGAGAAATTGCACAGAACACTTTCGTTTGATTTAAATGGTAAAATAATTTTATCAAATAATTATAAATAATCAATTCACTAGTTTTCGTGGTCCGCTTGACCAATTAATATCTTTCAATTAATTAAGGTTTTTAGTTGAGATAAAGAAGTCAGTGTCACGAGCGGGATTCGAACCCACGACCTTTGGGTAGATACGCCGCTACTCTACCCCTTGAGGTATCGTGACTTCGATCCACTCGGTCACTAACATCCCATTTCAACCCCACCTTTTGAATTTTCCCTCCTTTTTGCCATTTTTCAAATAGATTACACGACCCAAGCCGAATCCCACTCGTGACACTAGGTTTTTTTATCTTGCATTAAATCATACCTTGCATTAAAAACTACATACGTTGCAGGCTGAAATGGCCTAGCAGTGAACAGCCTCTGGAACTTAAACGGCCGAACGCATTAAGCCCCGGACTGCCAAGACCCAAAGCAGGCGATTCTCGCGGCTTGCTGAAGTCATAAGCTTAATTCTGTATGTATGCACGTGTGCAGAATTAGCTTCTATAAATCAATCTTTCAATTGATTGGAACTTGGTTTAGGAGAAGTCGAAAAAGGCCAATTTCTGAGTTGAACTGAATTGAATTGAATTTAAATCAATTTCTGTCGTTGATGACAATATCGATGTGAAATCCTCCACCTGTTCGCTTTTTATTTTATTATTTCATTCATGATGTAAAATCGTGCTATCATACTTAATTTTTTGCAGAGGTAAAGCTTATTTACACGAATTCACTACTTTCGTGGTCCACTTGACCAATTAATACATGACAATTAATTAAGGTTTTCAGTTGAGATGAAAAAAAGCTAATGGCACGAGAGGGATTCGAACCCACGACCTTCGGCTAGATACGCCGCTGCTCTACCACCTGAGCTATCGTGACCTCGATCCACTCGGACATCAACTCCCCATCCCAATTCATAAGGTGGGGTTGAGATGGGAAGTTAGTGTCCGAGTGGAACGAGGTCACGATAGCTCAGGTGGTAGAGCAGCGTCGTATCTAGCCGAACGTCGTGGGTTCGAATCCCTATCGTGCCATTAGCTTTTTTTCATCTCAACTAAAAACCTTAATTAATTGTCACTTATTTACACTTCTCAAATGTATATTTTTTACAAATCTCAATTAGAATGTATAATACAACAACGTTATTTGGGAAGAAGCTAAACCCCTTGTTCTGCATAGAAATTATTCTCCGATTTTGGAGCTCGTTAAAACTTTATTTGATTTGTCGAAACAAGTGCGCCCTTCCGCGGATATGGGTGCTTGGAATTTCACCCTTACAATTAACTACCGGCGAATCGACTTTTCCTAAACCCTTAAACATAAAATAAATCTTAATTTACTGAAGTTTAAATTGAGTAACTCTTCACGGCAGGGGTCATAGTACAAAAAATGTTTCAACGAGGGGGAAAGTTAATTCGATTTCGTCGTGCAAAAAAAGTGACTAAAAGTTACTAAAAGTCTTCAAGCAATAAACACGCCTTGAAGATGATTAATTTTTATTAGAAAAAGCATTCGGTTTCGCCGGTGGGAAAATCAAATAGAAATCTGTTAGCAGTAAAAATACCGATTGATCGATTTGAGCCTTCCCATAACAACAATTTTCGCTCAATCGAAAGTTTGATAAAGAAGTTAACCTAAAATTACCTTTATACAAAGCGTTAGTTAGTACTCTCTTACTTTTTACAAATTATGTCAATGCAAATTATAACAATATAAAGCGTTTACAAAAATTATTAATCACTTATGTATGATGCCTACTTAATCTCAAGTATGACGATCGATTATATGATAAATTTAAAGGGCTACATTTTTTAAAAGCGAAGAACTTCAAAAATTGCAGCTTTAATAAAGAAAACAATAATGATAGAAAAACCATAATTTCTACCAACCAATGTTCAATCGTAGAATCGCACAATTGCTCCTCAGTTACTCACTCTCTTTCTCTCTCTCTCTTTCTCTCTCTCTCTCTCTCTCTCTCTCTCTCACTCGCTCTCTCTCTCTTCTTTTCCTTTATATTGAAACGTTTTCAAATGCTGTCATAAGGAAGGAAAAAAATATTATCAGTTCAACCTATGGCGGGGAACACACTTACCCGATGCAACGCTATGCGACGCTACCTGATGCTTCACGACGCCTCGTCTCGTTTTGGTCAATCTATGCGACGTCTAGCGCACACCATGTACAGCCAGTCGCACAGCGTGTATCACAAATCAGTATCGGAATCGCAAAGCCTCTTTTGTTCTTAATGCATTATTTTGAGCAAAAACATGTGAAAAATTTGATGTTTGTTGATCGACCTGCCAATGATCCCTACGAAAATTAGAACTGTACATGTAATAAATTGTTAGTTAAATTTTATGTGCACAACTCAATCAATTGTTTATTAAACTTAATATTTTTAAATAATTATTCCGGTGTTTTGATAAATTTTCTTCCTATCCATCATAATTAAATAATTTTTATAAAAACTTATGAATTTTTGATCTCGTTTAATTTGGTTTACATTAAAATAGGAATGTTGTAATAAATATAACGACAAAATTACATATACTTAGTTTAAATTACTACAAAAAATATGAGTGTGCTGTTCTCACGTTACTGGACGAAAATGGTGCAATTTTATGAGCAAAACCATGAATTAAATTGTTAGTTAAATTTTATGTGCACAACTCAATAAATTGTTTATTAAACTTAATAGATTTAAATAATTATTCCGTTATTTTGATCAATTTTCTACCAAACAATTAAAATTAATTTTTTTTAAATAAAAAACTTGAATTTTTGATCTTGTTTAATTTGGTTTACATTAAAATAGGTATGTTGTAATAAATATAACGAAAAATTACATATACTTAGTTTGAAATAAACTACAAAAAATATGAGAGTCCTGTTCTGACGGTAACTCGATGAAAATGGTGTGATTTTATGAGCAAAACCATGAAATAAATTGTTTGTTAAATTTTATGAGCAAAACCATGAAATAAATTGTTAGTTAAATTTTATGAGCAAAACCATGAAATACATTGTTAGTTAAATTTTATGAGCAAAACCATGAAATAAATTGTTAGTTAAATTTTATGAGCTAATCCATGAAATAAATTGTTAGTTAATTTTATGAGCAAAACCGTGTAATAAATTGTTTCTTAAATTCTTTATATTCAAAAATTGTATTCCATTATTTTGATCAATTTTCTACCAAACAATTAAAATTAATTTTTTTAAAATAAAAAACTTTTAAATTTTTGATCTCGCTTAATTTGGTATATATTAAAATAAGTATGTTGTAATTAATGTAACGTCATGTAGTTTGAATAAAAAAATGAGTGTCCGGTTCTTTTGTCTTCGCCTATACTCGATGCTCCCGACGAAAATCTGGACAGTGGGTATCGCAGAGCATAGAGTAGGGTAGCGTTGCATCCGGCAAATGTGCACGGGGGTAGTACAACCATATGGAAAATTGGACTTTGGATTTGCGTCGGGTAGCGTTGTATCGGTGTGTTCCCAAGCATATCGTTATGTAATTTGTTATATATATTACTTGTCATTATTAATGGTGGCTAAATGTAGATGAAGATATAAATTGTTAAAATACAATAACAAATTTTTTTTTTACAGCTGCCGCAGGTGGAAGCTAACGATCAAGATGCCATCGGACGTAGATTTAGAGTGGAAAATGGAGAATCATTAGGAGGAAAAGAAGAGGTAGTTTAAACTAAATCACACATTTTTAAAAATTCACACGACTGTGTAACTTCAATAAAGTTGTTTTTATGGTTTAATCAAGCACGCTTCACTTGATGTACTTGAATGCACAATGAAGATGCATGCGCTATTTTGAGTTAAAATCCATCCATACGCAAATCAGAATCATTCATATTTAACATTAAAAACTGAACAGTTCATTGTTATTTAAATTTTTTATACTATTCTTCTGTTTCAGATATTTGGCTCGCCGAGCACACCCGTTTTAGAGAACCCGGAATACCAAACTAGGTGGTATTTCAAGTATTTCCTTGGGAAGCGTAAGTGTTAAATGAAATGTGTGGTGATTAGTGACCGTTAATCGATAATTATTCAGAAATCGTGAGATGCGGTCTGGTGTGATGTTTCAGAAAAACATTTTCTTTATCGTGCCAACAAAAACTTTGATTGAGCAGAAATACTTTGATTGAATATAAAAAATATATTTTGCATTGTATAAATTCAATTTTCCACATCCTAAATGTATTTGTTAAATGTAAACAATGTTTGTAAATCCCAGTCCCTGAAGATGATCTCAATAAAGATCGAAACGTTGGCACGATAAAGAAAATGTTTTTCTGAAACCTACATCACACCAGACCGCATCTCACGATTTCTGAATAGTTAAGTGAAATCTTGATCTACTCACGTTTTCAATAATACTTTTGTTTTTAGTGCATCAAAACTATGTCGGAGTCGATAGCGAAAAAGTACCCTTTTTCCTCAGCGTCGTTCTCACCGACACTAATTCCCAATGCGTCCCGCAGTATAGAGTTATTTTATGGAAAAAGACGGTGAGTTGGTAAAAGTACTCATAAAAATCCCGCATGAGAATTGCCTTTTATCCGAACCTCTCCTCTTCTACTCTACTAGCATTTACAATTGAATATTTCCAATGATATATCTAGTCTTATTGAATTAAATGATTTCGAAAATAGAATTGCTGAATGAAAAATTTATGACTAACCAATTTGCAAACACCGATTAATTGCATTTACAAATCTGTTAGTAAAAACAATCACTTTCTTTAACACAAGTTTTATAGCTTTCAGGCTTTTAAGGCCTTACTGTAATGATTGGGTATGGACTCTATTTTGACTTAACTCATCATGTCAATTATGAACGTGTCAATTTCAAATAATGTATTTGTGTTAGATTTTTAATTTCGATATTTTTTATTACAAGAGGAGGCTACAGACGTGAAATAGTTTTATGAAAACTTTTTTTACGATACGAGGTCAAAAATTATTAGACAATGTTCAAGCTTCCTAATGAGCTTCCAGAACGGATAAAGAAAACAATATTTTAATAATTTACATAATATTTTTAAATATGGTTTTCTCCCTTTGTTGTACATGTGTGTCAGGGTTATTAATTCCGATTATGTTAATTCATTTGTTTTGTTAAGCAGGATAATAATGTAATAATAAAATGGGCTACCAGCAAATACCGAATAACAGTAAAGATATATTTTCGTTGGGGAAAAAACAAAAACCATTCGGATTAGTTTTAAGCACCGTTTAATACAATTAAATTTTCATCGTAATAATAAATATAATATATTTTTCTAAATTCGTCGGGTGCAATTTTTTTTTCTCTCGCCTATGTTCAGTGCTCAACTTAAAATTACATAATTCTCAGGATTTTGCTTTTCAAAAACACACAAAGAACGGATCAGCTGGCTTGATGGTTAATATATTAGCCAGAGCAGAATATTTGTAGTGTGTATATCATAATTATTTCTTCGTGGAAGGGGAGAGCGTAAATAAAATTATACGAGCGACGGTGGGAATCGAACTAACTACCATAGGGTCTACGAGCCGAGAGTCTACCACACTGAAATCTCGGCAACCGCCGTCCCACAAACAAATTTACTACTACAATTAATTAAAGAGGGCCAAACTTAAAGGGGTCACGGGACTCATATCCAATCACTGGCATATGAGAAGACATTTACTCAACATGGACATATAGGGATGATCTGTACGTTATGTAATGAGGAGAATGTAACACCCACCCAAACCGTCTTCGAATATGAAGTGCGTAGTGGAGACAAAACTAGAGATACAGAAAACCCAGGAAAATGAATTATAGAAACGACGGATAGCCGGGAAGGAAGAAGCAGACAGGGCGGCCAAAGAAGCAGCCAGATGACCTCACGACGCTTCCCAACCTATACTCCCAGCGGATCTCAAGTTATTAATTTCAAATACGATAAAAGAAGAATTGAAAAACGGCTGGGCTCGGAACAATAGAAATAACCCTACAGATTAAGAAAGACGTCGGTCCCTGGTTCACAGAAAATTGGTCAAAAATGGAAAAGGTCATACTGACAAGACTACGCATAGGTCATACAAGAATTACGCACGGGCACCTTCTAGCAGGAAAGCGACCGCATAGGTGCCCATTATACATGGATAGAGTAACAGTCGAGCACGTTTTCAATTGTAGAAGGCTCGATGTTTATAGGCAATATTTTGGAATATCATCGGACCTGTGCGTAGTCTTGGGGGATGGCAGCGGGCACAAATCGCTGTATCGGTACCTCAGGGCTATAGGGACTTTCAATGTATATAGTTTATGTGTGTTTGTGCTGTGCTTGTATTGTGTATGAAGTGTTTGTGTCGTGTTTGTGTCATGTTTATGTTAGAATATTAGGATGAATGTAATTTATTAGCGTGAAAGGAAGGGGTTATTTACCCAGCCCCGAGGAATATCAAGTACTCTGGGGTGAGTGAATGTGACCAGACTTCTATGTTTGTGGCGATATATATGTGATTGTATGTTGGTTATTTATTCTTAACTTGACAACCTGAGGTACAAACAAGAGGCTAGGATTTTAAAATAACGACGTAATATACAAGTAAAAGCAGAGAGTCAGTAACCAGATCGAGATGCTCAAATGGCCGCAGTTCAATACAAAATACGCGAGAAATACANGTTAGTGTCCGAGTGGATCGAGGTCACGATAGCTCAAGTGGTAGAGCAGCGGTGTATCTAGCTGAAGATCGTGGGTTCGAATCCCGCTCGTGCCATTGACTCTTTTATCTCAACTAAGAAACCTTAATTAATTGAAATGTATTGATTGGTCAAGCGGACCACGAAATTAGTGAATTTAATCATCATCATTCCCAAAAGTATAGTGTACATAAATTTTCTTAATCAAGAAACCAAGTTGGTACTTATCGTGTACACCGAAATACCCGGAGAAAATTCAAATGCTACCTGATTTTTTCAAGTTCAAAAGAGTTGGAGTGACTTTAAAACGAATCCACGATTCGTACAAAGCTTTGCAAAAGTTAAGTACCCAATAACCGTTACGCAATAGCCTTCTTAATTAAATCAAAACCAGAGAATGTTTTTTTTCGTTTTACCATTATTTTTCTCAATTGTAAAAGCTCAAAACAGACAGATTTTGATACAGGCTCGAAGAAGAAAAATACGGATTTTCTCCGGACAAAAGTTTGAATTAAAGTTAATTGCGGAAGAGTTACAAATTTTCAAGTTAAAAACAAGCTATATGTCAGAAAAATCAAATTCTTCTGCCGATCCTTCCCAAAATGTATCTTTTAACAGATGTGAAAACACAAGGCCAAAAAAAGAAAAAAAAAGATTTTTTAAATTTTTTTATTACATTTATTTGGCATTTACAACTACAAGTGATGTATTAAGTAAATATGTTCGTATATGTTGAATTATCATTTGAGGCTCTTGTAGAAGTTGCCCAGTACCAACACTCCTTCACACTGATATCTTGTTCAGTCTTCTCACAATGAGAAGGTCTCGGGGCCACTTTCGCTTCAATCGTCTTGGAGGATTTTCAGATAGGGTTGGAAATGATAAATTTCGTACGAATAGATTACTGTGTTTGTTCAGTGATTGATGAAATTTTTTATATCGGGTTTTGATGAGTTCATGTACAAACGGGATGTGAAGGTCTTTATGGATAGTGTAATTTGAAACGTAAAAAGGAGCATTTATAATTTGACGGAGAATTTTTGATTGGATTGACTGGAGACGCTGGGAATTGGAATTCTTGATTTAGCCCCACACTTCACAACCGTACGCCCGAGAGGTCTAATCATTGTCGTGTAAATTAAAAGTTCATTTTCAAGGTCTTATTTTGATCGTGAGTCGAGTAGTCGTTTTAACAATTTATAACGTCGGTTTGTTTGCTGTCTTTTCTGTCTTGTATGGGGATTCCAAGTCAGTCGTTTATCCATGAAAAGTCCAAGATAACGCACAAGGTCAGTGTTAGGCAATGAAAGTCCATTTATACTCACCGCAGGACAGACATTTTTACGTAAGGTAAAATTGATCTGTGTGCTTTTTGTTAGGTTTACCTTTATTCTCCACTTTGTGAACCATATTGTTAATTCATTCAGGTGTTGTTGTAAGTGTTGAGTGCTAATTGAGGGGTCCGAATTGCGTGTAAGAATCGCTATATCATCGGCGAATGTGTGTGTCGAAATGTTAACGTGTGTAGGAATATCTGCAGTGTATATGGAAAATAGAAAAGGGCCAAGTATGCTTCCCTGAGGAACATCCGCCCTTATGCGCATATAAGGTGAGAATCCAGTTCCCTGACGGACTCGACAAAATCGATCCGTCAGATAAGATCTCAGTATAAGATACTACGAATGAGGGAGGATGTTCCTCACTTTCCAAAGCAAGCCCGAGTGCCAGACTCGATCGAAGGCCTGTTCTAAATCAAGAAAGACACCCAAGCAATGCTGTTTTTGTTCGAGGGAAGAGGCTATATTGTCAGCAACACGATGTAATTGTTGAGTTGTCGAGTGAAATGTGAAACCCAAACTGATGATCTGGAATAATATTAGAATTTTCAATTATTGTCAGTAATCATCGGAGAAGTAGTTTTTCTAGTATTTTTGCAAGAATAGAAAGGAGACTAATGGGTCTATAGGAATTAGGAAGATCAGAAGGTTTACTTGGCTTATGAATCATTTTAATTATAGAGAACTTCCATTGCAATGGAAAATATGTGGTCCTGAGTACAGCGTTGTATAAGTATGTTAAGTATAGTAAGCCTCTGTAGGGCAAATTTTGTAATATTTGTTTTGTAATTAGATCATAACCTGGAGCTTTTCGTGAAAAAAAAATTACTGTCATGAGTTGCGTATATTACAAGTGAATTATCATATGTCCCTTACGACCAAAAGATGTGTATTTCATCGTTCTGGTATGAACCCTGCCTAATGAATAAATCATTTTTACATAAAGGTTTTGACTAAATAATTAATAATCGTAATTAGTATACATATCGTTTTTTATAAATTATTTTGACTCGTTTTCGAACAGTTTTCACTGTTAGGTGTTGAATTATCCACCTGAAATTTGATAGGAAAAAAGCTTTATCTAGTAATATTTATTTTACACATACATAAAATAAAGTTTCAACAATATAAGCCTTTTACCGATTTTCATTATAGATATTAACGAACATTTCATGCCAATAGGTTATGTTTGCCGTTGAAAATGGTTGGTATGAAAATAATAAGTGGGACTTAATTATGTTAGGAAATTCAACCGCTCCGGCCCGCTGTAATGTAATTCATAAACATGATATGCAGATATCTTTGGAACGGATTTATATGAAAAGTGAGGTAGTCGACTCTTGATGTGGATTACACCGTACGAATCGTTATTTCAGCACCGACGAACCTTCTTTAATAAAATTTATAACATAAATTATATAATAATTTCAATACGGGAAACACGGAAAAACGTACACTCGACAAACGTATTACGGGGATTCAATTTACCTTTCTGAAAATATCTCTTAATAAATCCTAACAGACCAAGTCACTTACTTCATTTCAGTACATAGCAATTAGCCTTTATAATTAATAAAGGCTTTTACAATAAGCTCCGTATTGGTTGATGTAGGTAAAATATGTGGGAAACGTAATAGAACTAGCGCAGTTTTGCTGATAATGAAACAAAACCAACACTTAAGATAATGGATAGGCCAGGATTCATCGTAACTTGAAATATTAATTATTTTGGGCACAATTTGCAAATGTAGATGTAGATGTTATTAGTCGGGGTGATATATACTGCGCCCTTTAAGAGCTGCTGTATCCCCCGTTCTCTGCCTAAAGCACACCGATGAGTCCTATTTCATCAAGGAACTTGATTACTAGGGCCGGTTTCAGTGGTTGGATCTCTTCTATGGTCACATTGTACATCCCAAAACACTTCCTCCTGCGGGCAATTGTAGCTCCAAAGTTCGTTAGTAGGAGGGTTGGTGTCTCCTCTGCCTCTTTGCAGAATCTGCATGTGCCGTTGGATTATTCCAATTTCCTTTAAGTGACCATTTAGCTTGCAGCGTCATGTTAAGAATCCTATTAGGATTCTCAGTTCCTGATTCTCTTGACACATTCTATAATTTCTTTCCTTCCAAAATTGGTCAGAAGATTCTTGGATTGTCTGTGTCCAATGGTGAATTCCATTGTTCCTTCACTTTCTTTTTGACCTTCTGTCTGAGATACTTGTTAATAGTGTGGGTTCCTATGCCACAGAAAGGTTCAGGTCCTGTCAGTGGTGTAGCAGCTCCTTGCCTTGCAAGGGTGTCCGCTTTCTCGTTGCCTTCTACTCCCATGTGTCCTGGGACCCAGTATAGGCTGACTTTATTCTGCGTACCTAATATGTTTAGCTTGGTTTTGCAGTTCAGCACCATCTTGGAACTAATGATATTTGAGCTTAGTACTTTCATGGCTGCTTGGCTATCTGACATGATAGCTATGTTCTTGTTTTTGTACCCTTTACTTAGCTTGAGTTGAGTACATCTCTCGATTGCGTGAATCTCAGCTTGGAAGATACTAGTGTATTTATTTTCCCATGGGTTCTGAGTATTTGGTTCCAGGATCGAATACTCCTGCCCCTGTACCTTCTTGCGTTCTAGATCCATCTGTGTACCAAATGATGGTGCCATTCTTAAAGGAGGTGTTTCCCTCTCTTTCCCATTCTCTTTTGGTACCGAGATTTATTTGGAAGTTTTGATTAAATTCAAACATCCTGTTCATGTCGTCTCTTGGAGCGTTGAGTATCGGACGGTCTTTCATTATTTTGCTGCTACCTCTCCATTTTAGTTTTCTTCTTGTTGGAGGTTTCATTTTTCAAATAGACAATTGACTCTTTGTAAGCTGATAAATCATCAGCAGGTTTTGGGATTAAATAACACACTCGGTTTATCTAGGAAGGGGAAGGCGTACAAAATTTTCGAATAATCTAAATGTTCAAGTATAAATGATTTTCAATATAGCCTGGAATGAAGACCAACATCACTTTGGAGAAAGGATCTTCGGTGAGGTCACAACAGAACGACAATTGTTTAAGTTTTTGCCGAGCTTCCGACGATTGTATCGTCATGAACAGGGCCCCATCATCATAATAAGATAAAAGATTTTAGATGCAGTCTTTTCTTAAGGCTTATTTCAACACTCGTCGAGGAAAAGAAGAAAAATATAACTGTTTTTAATTTTGGTTTTACATACAATATGTTATAATTGCTATATTTTCCTATAATTAATAGGTCCTGATGATGACGATATAATCGTCGAACTCTCGGCAAAAACGAAAAGAATTGTCGTTCTGTTGTGACCTCACCGAAGATCCTTTTTCCAAGTTGTTCAACAGCAGGTCGATCCATCATTTTATCTTTAACAAACATCACCTTTGAAACCTACCTCCTAACCATATATCCTACTACATGTCCGAAATCCACGAAAGACGATTTTTGAAAATGTTAAATGCGCATCCTAGAAACGTCGGGTTCAATATCCATCATTCCACGTTCAAGTAATGTTTCAGAGTTGTTGATATCACTTCCTCCGATCCGAGAACAGGCTTTTGATAGGGTGTAGTGCTACAATCGTAAATTGAAATCCACTCTGCTGGTTGTGTACAATACATATACGGTTGTAGATAAAAATAAATAATTATTACTTATATTCAGAAATCGTGAGATGAATCTAAAATCGTCTAGCATTGTATTAATTCATGTTTTTGAATGTAAAATTTTCCAGCATTGCATAAATTCATTTTTTTAATCTAAAATTTTCTAGCAATGTATAAATTCATTTTTTTTAATCTCAAATTTTCTAGCATTGTATAAATTCATTTTTTTTCACACCTCCTAAAATCTCCCTTTGACAAAACCGAACCGCCCCAGATTTTCTACTATATTTTCCTGCATTGATCGTAAAATGACAATTTGTTTTTATTACTATTTTTATTCATATTTCACCGTCATATCAGACTTCGTCATATAGAAAATTAATTGTTAACAAAAACTCCAGCAAAGTAAATTTATCATTTTTAGACTATAGAAATTCTTAAAAAATCAAACACTAGAATTAATGATTATTTGGAGATCGTGAGATGCGGTCTGGTGTGATATAGGTTTTAGAAAAACATTTTCTTTATTGTGTCAACGTTTCGATATTTATTGCGATCATCTTCAGGGCCTAGGATTTATAAACAATGTTTATATTTTACAAATACATATATTTTGTCCACACCCTACATGTATTTGTAAAATTTAAACAATGTTTATAAATCCCAGCCCCTGAAGATGACCTAAATAAAGATCGAAACGTTGGCACGATAAAGAAATTTTTTTCTAAAACCTACGTCACACCAGACCGTGTCTCACGATCTCTGAATAATCATTGACTAACGGTCAGTAAACACCACACATAAAAATAAATGTCAGAAAAATTGTCATTTTTTAAAATTGTCAGGTCTCAATCAAGGTAAATGACAGGTCTCTAACATAGAATATACCGTTTATTTTCACTCGAGATATTACAACTATCAATAACAAGACCGGAGGGGCGTCTGTAGCCGCAAAGGTTAGTCGTTGTCACGGCGCTCATCAATGTAAGGTAAAGGTCCCGGGTTCGAATCCAGCGGCCCTGAATTGACCCGGCACCCTGAGGGTATATATGACCTCTGCTGTTGCAAACACTCGTTTAAAAAATACAAATAAATAATTTTTTTTATTTTTTTAAACACCGGAATACTATTTTATGCTTCAAATATTACTGTGGTGATAATATTACAGTGAAACAAAGACATAAGATAATGCTGTACGAAACAGACGATTGACTTATAAATGTAAACTCTGTACAAGTTTTATGATTTATCATTGCCCTTTATGGGTTGCATTTAAAAACATATTTATGTACGTTATCAATTTATATATTTTGTTAGTATTATAACTTTTATTTTTTATTAAACATGTGTTTTTTTTTTTAGGGTGCACAGAAAATCTCTTTATCCTACACCCCAAACAAGCCGATGACAGTGAAACAGATACTGAGGTAATAAAAGAAATTTTTTGTCAGGGGAAAGTCCTTGGGTTGGCAAAGGGCAGCAAGATAAATAAAGATTGGCAATAGTGCGGACAAGCTATTTATCAGGGCTCGAAACAGATTGCCGTGGACAATCCTGGGAAGGGGCAGATAGCCATATCTACCAAAACCCATCCTTTTTACACAATTTCTACTCCTCTTCTTGTCCCAGGGTTAATTGATTGGACAATCCCCCAAAAGACAATTTACCCAAAAGAAGTCAGGGAGGAAACTAATCTGCATATTAATTTCCGCCCTGAATGAGATTTAGATTTTATTTCAGCACTCAATTAGGGCCATTGTAAGTGGATTTTACGACGAGAAACATTTTTTGAATGTCACACCGGCGGCACGGTAAGCTGGGTGGTTAGGCAGGGATCTCGTGGAAAGATTTAAATTAAACCATCCCGATGGGATTTTAAACCTACTTATTTCCTGGTTCAACTATCGGTGTTATAAGTTCGTTTTGATTTCAGCAATTTCCCCAACATGGAAAAACTGGAAAAAGGCCCCAAGGAAATTTTTGCTCCCGATGTACAGAAGGTAAGTTTGTAACATTTTTTTTTTATCTCATTCTCTAAACTTAAAAAAACATCAATAAAATTCTACTTTGCGATTGGTGCTTAATATCAAAAGAAAATCAAATTAAAATAATAAACGAGCAAATATTTTTTATCGTGCCAATTATCAGCTATTTTATAACTAAAAACATTAAAAAGGAAGTTTCGGTTTCGGCCCGAAAAAATGCATTTTTATTTAAATAAAAACTTTATTAATTTAAAGTAAAACCTTCCGGCATAGACTAAAATTGGCCTCCTGAGAATTTGACCTTTAGAAGTGATAAGTTTTTTGAATGTTGCGAATAAAGTGCTCTGGTTTATCTTGCCTTGATGAACTTGCAACTTGTTAGCACTTGATCTCTTTGAAGGTTCTCCTCTTTTATGAATACTGTCTGAAAAATTACATTCCTAATGAACAAATCAGTTAACAAACCTTACAGCATGAGTTGTAATACTTTTTATGTCGTAAATTGCAAGGCAACTAATAGAAAAAATCGTGCTCGATCGCTCCTCATGAAAAGGTAATTTTTCGTCACACTCTTCACCAAAACCCTTCATCATATGAAACTTGCTTGAAATTTTTTTATTTTATTATAATTTTGCAGAGAGCGATTTGTTTTAAACATCCAAAAGCAGAAAAATGATTTTTTAAAGGAGTGATTTTGTCAAAATAATAAGTTGGAGCCAAATATTAACGATTCACTATTTTAAAAATCTTGCTGTATTACTAAAAGAAATAAAGTTTGAAATAAACCAAAAAATAGATTTTGAGAAAAGGTACTACAAAATGGCAGCTGTTTGACCTCTCTTCGAACAAATAAATGTTTTTGAAAGTTTGCTGAAATATGGTTCAATTTTAGAGTTTTTTAACACAGAAAGTTGAAACAAAAAGTCTGTTATAAAAATCCGCAAAATTAAAATCCATCGTCTGAAAATGGAGTCATTAACAGATCTCATTGTGAAAAGAGCAAAACACGATGCTGAGTTTATTTATGTGTTAAATCTGATAAGCATTATATTTCTAGATCTTTCATTCATCCAAAATACAAATAATGCGTTAAATATTTTCTTCCTAAGAGTGAAAGAATTTTTTAATTGTTATTTCATTTGTACCTTATACATGTTTGATCATGTTATAAATGTGAGTACAAAAAGGTTTTTCACGCGGGTACAGCCCTAACGCTAAAGCTAGCGCCGCACCGGAAAGACACATGCTATGAGATATCAGCCGGCACTCCATGTGATGGATTAAGGGAGAAGGAGTTCTCGAGGCATCCTTGATTAGGGCGACGAGGATGGTTCTCAGGATAGGAACGTGTAGAGATGGCTTGAGCAGTTGGGTTTGGATGAATCGAGATGTTGGTGTCAAACTTTTGAAATCGGGAACGGACAAAAGGGATGCTGATGTCGTTGTAGATAGTGAGGTTAGTGAGGTAGTAAGGTTCTTTGACAATTTGTGTTTGGAAGGTTTCGATGCACTGAACGTAGCTTGGTTTGGCTGTTCCATTCCGTATGCCCAAATTGGTTGGAAGTAATGTTTTATATAAAGATAATTTAGTTTTGACGGTCGTCAATATTGGTCCTATCAGTTTTCGAAGGTGTTCAAGTATTCTGTTGGGATACTTTAAGTCTTGTGTGGCGATTCAACGTCCGTCCGTTCTTTAGGTCTAGTCCTAAGTATTTAACTTGATGGAAGAAGCTATCTCTTTGTTTTTGATGTGCAGCAGAGAGCAAGATTTTTTCAATATGAACGTACACTGAGTAAATTTTTCTTCATTACGTTCCAGTTTTTTCACCAGTCTTCAATTATCAATGTGTACTTGTGCGTTGGAGGGTAGCTTGGATAGGATTCGAAGATGGATGTATATTTAAGTCAAGAGTATAAATTATATAAAGGACGGGTCCTAGAGCGCGCCCTTGTCGGACGCCGGCTTATATCTATCTGTCTTTCAAGAACTCGTTGCCGTTAAAAAAAAAAAATTGATGTTATTTTATCTACAAAAAACTTCTTAATTTTGTAGTAAGGATTTCCAATATATTATAAGTTGTCGTGATATAAAGTGTGCTACGCAAAGTAACAAAAAGGTTCTTAAATTAAAAAAAGTAATAAGGTGAATTCACCATCCCCGAGTTGTCTTTTCGTTTTATGTTCAAATTTTCAAAATAAAGGAAAAAATTTACTTTTCTATCGTACTTTCATTATCCACTCGCGTCTATGTATTATTCAAATCAATACGGCACGAGGAGATAGAATAAAATGGGAACTTGAGTCGTTCTGGGGCGTTATTATTTTCTTTACACCCGGGGACAATCACATTTCTACGATGCAGCCTTTCAACAAAATCAATTTAATTAAAACCACTTATAAGAAAAATACAAATCTTTCTATTAGAAGAAAATTTAATTATCTCCATATAACATCCGCCCGGATAATTTAAATCGTGACGAATAAAAAAGTAATGACTACTAACTGGCAGTCCTCAATGTTTGTTGGAAAGTTGCTACGATAATTTGATTCTGTTCAATACACCAGAAAATATAAATTAAAAGGTATGAGTATTAAGAGAGCATACGAAGGACGCAGAAATGACAAAGAATAACGAAACAAATATGGATGCATTTTTACGTACAATGGAAGAAATAGACAAATAATTCACACGGCATAAAAACAAAAATACAAGGCATGAAAGATGAAAATGAAGAAAGCAAAACACAGAAATTTAAAAGAATCTGGAAAGCATTCTAAGAAAAGCCAAAGAGAAAAATTTGTTCTGGGGACTGAATACTGAGGATAAATCCATTATATTTCATGGTCCGATTGACCAAATAACTTTTTTCAAGAATCTTTATGTAAGGTTGTTGGATAGAAAAAGTTAGTGTCACGAGCGGGATTCGAACCAACGACCTTCGGCCCAATACCTACAACATTTGTTATTTGCCCTCCTTTTCGTCATTTTTCTAAGGTTGTAGGTTGAGATGGGGAGTTGGTGTCCGAGTGGATCAAAGTACATAGCTCAAGAGGTAGATCAGCGGCGTATTTAGCGTAAATTCGTAAAAAATTAATTGAAAGAAGTAATTTGGTCAATAGACCACTAAATAAGATGGAACTAATTCTATCAATGAACTGATTCTATCCTTCTTCCAAAAGTTTCACATCAAGCTTTCGATCAATTCTACCTCTACTATCCGAGCCTTGTCCTTAATTTCCCAACTTGAGAACTTACCACGTCACATTGAAGACGTTGGCGTCAAAAACTCCTATTCTCTTGTTTCCCTTTGAGTACCAACATTGGCTGGTTTCTTTTAAAATGTGTCCTCCGGAGCAATGCTGGCCAATGCCTGGTTCGTGATTGGAAGAAAAATAATACGAAGAAAAATCATATTTGTAAAATGAATGTATGTGAAGACAAAAATAAATTGATTAAAAAATATAGTAGACAAAAATGAAACCCTAGACGACCCTCTTGAAATCGCATTCCGTATTTCAACAACATTCTCCCTAAATTGAACCCAATTTCGCAAAAACCAATGCGAGGTGGTGCTGACTAGTTGAATGAAGTTGAATTTTAAAAAATCAATGTTCAGGTAGCTGTAAAGTTCCAGTATAAAATTAAATTTGAAGCAGGCTGAGAGGCCCTGGCTCTAAATCAATTATACCCCAGTGGGAGAGCATTGTAATTCAGTAGAATTAACGTCGACAACTCCTTCGTAAGGTAATTCATCCTGATATTTGTGTGGTCCTGCTTCTGGCTGGGTGGCGTTGAAGCACTAAGAAATTCAGCTTCACGCTTTGTAGACTTTGTTGAAATTCTCCCTTTGAGAAAACCGAAGGCCTGACGCCTCAGATTTTCTACTATATTTTCCTGTATTGATCGTGAAACGAAAATTTGTTTTTATTATTATTTTTATTCATATTTCACCGTTATATCAGATTTCGTTGTATAGAAAATTAAATGTTAACAAAAACAACTAATATTTACTTTACTAGTAAAGCCTCAGCAACGTTGGTATTTTTAAAAATATTAATGCTAATCTTCATCATTTTTAGACTATAAAAATTCTTAAAAAATCAAACACTATAATTAATGATTATTTGCAGAACATGTGATGCGGTCTGGAGTGACGTAGGTTTTAGAAAAACGTTTTCTTTATCGTGCCAACGTTTCGATCCTTATTGAGATCATCTTCAGAGCCTGGGATTTATAAACATTGTTTAAATTTTACAAATACATTAGGATGTAGAAAAACACACATCCTTCATTTATTTTTTCCACATCCTACATGTATTTGTAAAATTTCCGACTCAAAATTAAACTAGCCTTATACAAGACTTTATTGAGACCAATTTACACGTACGGAGGGCAATTATGGGGTTCTGCCAAGCCATCCAACATCCAACGCATCCAATCAAAAGTCCTAAGACTAATCGTCGAAGTTCCTTACTATGTCACTAACCACCATATCCACAACGATCTCAACATTCCGTTTTGTCAATGAACTGATCCTTTCCCGATTCAAAAGTTTCATACACATTCAAGAACACCGTAAGCATATCGATGAATGGAGGGCAAGATTGAAGGGAAAAAATCTCTTCAGTGTCAATTCACATAAAAAATAATAAAACTTAACAAAAATCTCACCCTCCACTGTACGTCAACTACAAAGAGATGCCTATTTGCATTCAACTCAGATACGTAGAACTCTACCCAGACACGAGGCTTACGTGGAATCCCCACACAAGACAAAAGACAACCACTCAACAAAACACTTTGATTACTACAAAGACTTTTAGGACCAAAATCTGACTTGAACGTGAAAATAAACTAACCTTATACAAGACTCTATTGGGATACAAGTTGAGCATATCGAACAGTGTGGTTCTGCCAAGCCGTCCGATATTCAAGTTCGATCCTTCCAACTGAGTGCAAGCATTGACTGATTATTCGGAGAACGTGAGACGCGGTCTGGTGTGACATAGGTTTGACAAATACATTTTCTTTATCGTGCCAACGTTTCGACCTTTTACAATTAATTAAGGTTTTTAATTGAGATAAAAAAGTCAATGGCACGAGCGGTATTCGAACCCACGATCTTCGGCTTGGTACCCCGCTGCTCTACCACTTGAACTATGTTGACCTCGATCCACTCGGACACCAACTTCCCATCTCAACCGCATAATATTACATAATTAACTGTAATATATTAATTGGTCAAGCGGACCTCGAAATTAGTGAATTTCAAACTTTATTGAGATCATCTTCAGGGCTCATAGTGTTTGTTTTCCGTGTAGATGTGTCATTCCTGTCTGTGTGGGACTCTCAACACGACAGAGAAGAATGTCAAGATCGAAACGTTGACATGATGAAGAAAACGTTTTTCTAAAATCTACGTCTCACCAGACCGCATCCCAGGTCTGCAAATAATCAATGGCTAACCGTCACTAAACACAACACATTACTATAATTAATTATTTTTATATCTTAGAATACTTAAACTATTTTAATTCTTATGAAAAAAAGGTAAGGTCCGAAAAGATACCTCACCGTAGTATTTCATCTTTCCATGCATCATAATTGTATTTTTATTATTTTTTAAAATACAAATGACTCTTTTATTTAATTTAATAGTTAATCAGGATACTAAACCGAAATAAAGTTCATTCACGCCGTGTACAGTTCACCCTTGAGCATATCTATTGGAAATAGGAATAGAGAAAAATCTTACTATCAGATAAGACAAACAACAAAAGCCCTGTTGGTAGAACGCATTATTTCATCGAACAACTTAAATAATAAATTCTATTTTTGCAAAGACAATTAGGAGGAGGAAGTGTGATCGTTTAGGTTGGCATCGGTTAATATAAGAAAGCAAAAATGGTTTTTGTTTCTGGTAGAATGGACAGTATGCAATGTCTAGTATTAATGGACAAAACAGAAAATCAATTAAAAAGATATACAGAAACAATACCAAATTAGTCTTTTATTTTAGCAGGGCAATACTCTTGTCGATACAACGAAGTGTGTAAAGCGGCCCATAGAAGATCAATATTATTGCACAATATTTTGGGTTGTGCAATTTAATTGATCTTGTGTAGACGATATTGAAAGTTTGTGCAATACATTGCATGATTGACGAAAAGTTGAAAATATATTGTACAACCTGGAAAATATTGCACCGTCTGCGCATTATTGCGCAATATCAGCCATTTTGTGAAGTATCAACAAGTGGTAAAATATTGCACAAACTTCAATATCGCCTTCAAACTATTCAAGATCATTGCACAAACAAAATTTTGTACAATATTATTGAACGTTTAGGGGCAAACGTCAAATTATTGTGCAATAATATTGACCATCTATGGGCTGCTTTAAAGCTTTTTTTCAAAACGAAACCATCAAGTTTTGGAACTGTCATACAGGTCTGTACATTTTAATACAATGGAAAATATCTGCAGACATTTCGTCGTGGCTGAAATAAGGGCTGCAGCCAGTTCCAGAAGACAGAACATATGAAACGCACGATCAAAAAAGAATGGAAAAAAATAAATTATCTCAATATGTTTTTCTAATGCTTCTAATAATTATTCTTTCTGTATAAGGTCTTGGTTGAGATTAAAAAGTCAGTGTCGCGAGCGGGTTTCGAACACACGACCTTCGGCTAAATACGCTGCTCGTTCGAATTTCCCTCTTTTCGCCATTTTCAAATCTCGTGTAATCAGGATTGGATTCTCAGCGACTTATCAAGTAGCCACGGGGAGCTGTTCAGTCAAATGGTAGAGCAGCGGTGTATTTACCCGAAGGTCGTGGGTTCGAATCCCGCTCGCGACACTGACTTTTTTATCTCAACCAAGGACCTTTCATAGAAACAATAATTAATTGAAAGAAGAAACTTGGTCAATTGACCACTCTCATATATTTTTTTACTGCCATATAATTGTCAAAATACTTTTAAAATGTGACAAAATAGTTATTTAGTGTTTAAAAAAATTAATGAAAACAATAATTTATACCCGTATACCCAAAATGATAGAATTAGCTATATTTTCATCCCTGACCGTATGGATTGTGATCTTACAAAACTAAGTGATAACTTCTTTTAGATTCCTGTATTTTTCTTAGTATGTGTAGATTGGTATTGTACTTTTATGATAGGAAATTATTTTATCCCCAACACTATTTTTAGTTTAAAAACTGTATAACATACAAAAACTCAGTATTTGGAGAAAACAGCTATTAGCGAGTTAACGAAAACTAAGTAAAGCTGCAGAATAAATAAATATTGAGTAAGTGAATACAGCCTGTAAGTTTTATAGATAATTATACAGCACTTTATTACATAATTTATCAATTTAAATATTTGTTTTAAACAAATGCCTGCAAGGTTTGCTAAGCACAAACTTTGGAATCAAATCTTTTGGATCCGCCCAACCAGATTAACATCCTATTCCTTCAATGGGCTAAAAAGAAAGAAAAAGTAGGAGCTATTTTCATTTGTCGTTTACCTTAGAAAGTTGGGAATTGGAGGTAAACAAGAACTTAATAAACTCTTTTGCCATCCTAGATCAGCCAATAAGTGTCCCGTTTCCTAGTTAACCAGGCGATGGAGACGGTTAATTAAATTGCCAGCCTTGGCGCCCCTCTTTTTAACGCCAGCAAAATACCGTAGGTGAAGTCTGGCAAGAAGTTAAAATTTTATTCGGACATGAATGGACGTGTGCTACCATTCTACGATTGGGTCCTGAAGGCTTGAACTTGTGTTATCGCAATTTGTCTCGTTTCGTTCTGGGTCAAAGATCAAGGCTTTACCTTTCCTACCAACGTCAGACAATCAACGTTTCCCACACGTATCGATACGAATGTTGTTGAAGCATGTTGTTGTTAAATAACGTCATAAAGTCATAAATATATATATATTGTAGGCTTTTATTCAATTTAACTATACCAAACTCTAGATGATGAGAATCTAACTTTATTTAAGTATGGATATAATCAATGTGTATCAATATAATTTATAATCAATGTTTCAGAGGACGACAACATACGCTTTCTATTTTCATAACCATAAATTTTTAAATTCTACAGAGAAGCTGTAGTTCAAATCTTTATATATATAATAAAGAGTACTTTCAAAGGCTGTAAATACTGTATATATAGATACCAGAAACTCAGAAATTTTATCGATTCCTTCTGGAGATATCGAAATTTTCCTTCAGTACTAGACAGTGTCAACGATTTCAGCACGAACAAATTTATAAAATTTAAGTTGCTGGTATCTTTGTTTTCGAATAGAAAAAGTAACAAAATTGCCTTGAATATGAAAATTATAATTCAATGAATTTTTAAGGATGGATTTTCGCACTCCTTTTGAAATTTCTTTCATTTCTATAAAATTATACTAAAAGCGCCTTAATTCTATCGATTCGTACTGGAAATATTGACGTTTTCCTACAAATCTCGGATCATTTATATTAAATAATAATATTTAATAAATTTATTAAATATATAATAAATACAGCGATATATGGTGATTTATCCTTAAATGCTTCAATTAGAGATAAACATAAAATTAATGTGAAAAATATATCAAAGATTTTTAAGGTTTGTAAACAATTCACTAGTTTTCGTGGTCCGCTTGATCAATTAATATCTTACAATTAATTAAGGATTTTAGTTGAGATAAAAAAGTCAGTGTCACGAGCAGGATTCGAACCCACGACCTCCGGCTAAATACGCCGCTGCTCTACTGCTTGAACTATCGTGATTTCGTTCCGCTCGGACACCAACTTACCATCTCAACCTTACCTCTCGAATATTCGCTCCTTTTTCCATTTTTCAATTGTCGTGTAATCTATTTGATTCTTGGCGACAAATAAATTGGCCACGGAGAGCTTTAATGACGGTCCGAGTGGATCGAAGTCACGACAGCTTAAGTGGTAGAGCAGCGGCGTATCTAGCCGAAGGTCGTGGGTTCGAATCCCGCTCGTGACACTGACTGTTTTATCCAACTAAAAACCTTAATTAATTGAAAGATATTAATTGTTCAAGCGGACCACGAAAACTAGTGAATTGTTTACAAACTTGAAAATCTTTGATATATTTTCACATTAATTTTATGTTTATCTCTAATTGAAGCATTTGAAGCATTTTTAATTTTAAAAACCCTTAATTAATCTATAAACAATGTTTAAGACATTATTATAAAATATCTAGTTTGAATTTTTTGAAGTTTTATGTGTTTTTTTATTAACACATACATTTATCGGCTTTATATCTAAATTTTTATAATAATTTATGTTTATTTATCATTAACTTTTTAGTTATGTAGTTTTTCTTCATTTTTGTTAGAATGTGCATATTTTCTATTTAATAATAATAATATGAGAACCATCTGCGAAGCACCTATTCTTGTATTAGCTTAATGAGGATCAATTCGATTAGCTGAATCAGTTAACCACATTGAGGTTTTCATCGCTAAAAAGTATGACGGGGGGGGGGCAGAAAGGAGGAATGATAGAAACAAAACATTTACAGTTAGAGTGATAAATGGATAGAAAATGAACAAGGTAATCGTGCGTGCTATAATAGTATATTTTGAACATTTGAAGTTCAGCTCACATACTCCAGAATATTGAACTCTTTTAATGAAACAATATTCCGCTATGTTTTGTATTAATCGTATATAAATATTTCAGGACTTGCTGTTATTGGAAGAGCAGGAGGGCTCCGTCAATTTCAAGTTTGGCTGCCTCTACACCAGACCGGGTCAGGTCACCGATGACGAAATGTTCAGTAACGGTGAGTTCCTTTTTTCTCCAGGGGCTGAATTAATTATTCCAGATATAAAAAAAAAAACCTTGAATTTATGGCTGGGTTTGGGAAAGACAAGGCTGAATAATCAGTGTGGAGGAAAAACCAACTGTTGGATGTTTTTGTGACCATCCAATGTTGATGGTGAACTAAATAATAATAAATATGAGTTTGATGCTAAATTTTAATTAATTGAGCTTACTTGAAATAAAAAAATATAGGAACATTTTTCAAATTGTTTTTTAATTGGAATCGCAAAGTAATCAAACAAAATGTTTTAAACATAACAATAAATACACTTCTCTAGTTTTCGTGGTCCGCTTGACCAATTAATATCTTTCAATTAATGAAGGTTTTTAGTTGAGATAAAAAAGTCAATGTCACGTGCGGGAATTTGAAAAATGGCAAAAATGAGGGAAAATTAAAAATAGGTGGGGTTGAGATGGGAAGTTAGTGTCCGATTGGATCGAAGTCACGATAGCTCAAGTCGTGGGTTCGAATCCCGCTCGTGACATTGACTTTTTTATTTCAACTAAAAACCTTAATTAACAGAAAAAAATTAAATACACTGTAAGGCAAAATATTCCACCCACTTTTAACTTGATTTGTATGTATTAATCAAATTTTCACGTTTTTTACAGTTTGTAATTAATATATAATATTTATATGATATATANATTTATTATTATAATTCAGTCTTTCTCGGAAAAAGCTGGAAAAAATGTAAATTGCTAAGGAGAAAAAAAACAATAGACGGACAAATAAAATTTGATTTAATTATGTATTCGATTTTTAATTAACAATTTAATATCGCGAATTTCCTCCTTTTGCCTTAATTACATCTTGAAGATGCGTCGCCCTTTTTTTCTACCAGTCTGGACTGTCTCTTTACTGGAGGTTGCCTATTCTTCACAGAGTCCTTGAAAGATGGTGGAGTGAACCAGGAAGTGATGGACTTGCTCTTATTGGTCTTTTGTGGTTATCCTATAAATGTTCGATGGGGTCCAAGTCTAGAGAACTGACTCGCCAGGCTAAGACCCTGATGTTATGCTGTTGAAGGTACGTTCATACTATGCGAGCGACACGTGGAAGGGCATTGTCGTATATTAGAATAGGATCGCTGATTTCATCGAGGATAGGCAACGCACGATGTTCCAAAATTTCATCCACATAACGAGTGGCCGTCAAAGACCCTCAACTCTGTGAGGCTCTCCGTTGAAATTCCCGCTCACACCATCACAGAGCTACGTTGAAAAGGTTGGCTCTGGGAAAAATTACAGGCTTCGTATCTTTCATTTTGCCTTCTTCACACTCTACCACGCCCATCTATCTTCGAGCAGTGCTTTCAGAAATTTGGACAGAAGTCAAAAAATTGTTACCCCGCGGTTCTGTTACCCTAGGGCGCCCAGAATCGGACCTTCTATGGTATGATCTGATACGAATACCTGATGGAACATCTATCATCAATAAGGGTCACACCACGCACAACATCCTCAGCACTAAGTGACATTTTTAAATACTCAATTAACTATAGACGAATTAATTATTCGTTTCGAAAAAATTGTATATAATAAATTGCGTATTTATATAATTAGGCATAGGCTGATAAAATAATTAAACAGTTAGTATGGCATTTTTAAGATTCAAAAATTGAAATTAAGAAAACAAAGATGAAAACTAAACACTTTATTGCTTCAGAATTCAAATGAGACTGAATATTTATTTTAAATTCCGTAAAAAGGACATTGCAAAATCCTTTATCCTTCTTTTGGATTAAGGATTAAGAGTGTTCACGTCTAATTGATATTCCCAATTTAAAACATAACATAAACAAATATTTATTGATAAAAACAACGAGGCAAATTAAGGGCAGAATTTTCTTTTATCCAGAACATTGAAAAAAAATCAATTGGGTGGAATTTTTTGCCAGTTAGTGCATATTAATTCACGAATTATTTCAATAACCATAAGTTTATGTGTAAAAATATATTGAATAATTTTTCTTTACCTAAGATACTACCATTCTACGTTTCATGTTAAATTATGGTACGGTAATACTAATTTAGTATTACCGCTTATAACCTATTTTTTTAGAGTAGGCCAAGTTACTAAAACATCAAGCATACCTACCTCCAGATAATGACCCATATTTGGAAGCACATTCGCCATAATAAAAATGAATAATTTCATTATTTTTTCAAGGTTTTATTTACAAGGCTAAAAGTGTATTTTTGGTACAAAAAGAAAAATCTCAAATTGCATTAACTTTCTTCTCTACTCCTCTAGAAAATTAACTTCGTAAATTATACGTTGAAACAACCGTGTATGTAGCATTTAGCAACCGTTAATTAATGATTATTTATAGATCATGAGAAGGGCTCCGGTGTGATATAGGTTTAGAAAATCATTTCATTAAAGTGCCTACGTTTCCATCTTTCCTGAGGTCATCTTTAGGGCCTGGGATACATTGTTTAAATTATACAAATACATATAATGCATGAATATGAAATCTATACAAAGATGTACACAGTATATAAATTTTAGGTTTAAGTAAAGTATTTGTACTCTCCCAAAGTTAATTGACGATTATTTTTTATATATGTTACATATATGAACAAATATAACATATATAAAAAAATCATTAATGTCTCACTAAAACTTTCAACACGTCAAACAACAGTGACACATCTACACAAAAACCACACTTTGAATGAGTACAAGTACTTTGATTAAACCTAAAATTTTTATACTTTGTACATCATTGTATAATTTCATATTCATATCTTTCATGTATTTGTATAATTTTAACAATGCTTATAAATCCCAGGCCCTGAAGAAGATCTCAATAAAGATCGAAACGTTAGCACGATAAAGAAAATATTTTTCTAAGCCCATTACAGTTCGTGGTCCGATTGGCCAATTAACATTTTTCATTTAATTAATATTTATGAAAGGTATTGGTTGAGATAAAAAAGTCAGCATCACGAGCGGGATTCAAACCCATGACCTTTGGCTAAATACGCCGCTACTCTACCACTTGAGCTATCGTGACTTCGATCCGCTCGGACACTAACTTCCCACCTCAAAATCACGATAGCTGAAGTGGTAGAGTAGCGGCGTATTTAGCCGAAGGTCATGGGTTCGAATCCCGCTCGTGACACTGACTTTTTTATCTGAACCAATACTTTTCATAAATATTAATTAATTTTTCTAAACCTATATCATACCAGACCGCATCTCACGATTTTTAAAAAAACGTTTAAACAACCGTTTCCGTAAATTATATGACATATATTTTTAATTTAGATCGTCTTCCTAGTAAATTAACATACACAAGAGCACATTTGTTCGGGTTTACTAGACATCAATTCCTACCATACGCAAAAATATGATTGTAATTTAATAAATTATTAAAGGCACAGAAATTTCCTAACGGATTTCCCAAAACTTGTAGGTAATTATTCACTACCTACACAAAAATGTTGGCATTCAAAAATGTAACAAAAAGTTACATTAGAGCATTACAGGGATTAACACTATGTTTTCGTGTTGTGCGTCGTTTGTATTTTTACTGTACTAATATTTTTCAAATGTTTAATGTATTTTACGGAATAAAATATGTCAAAATATAAAGGGAAATAATATTGAGGAAAAGGAGGAAAGGAGAAGTCGTTAGGGTTGTTTGCTCGGTGACTGTGAACTGGAGCCAAGTGTCTTCCCCTCCTAATCGCGCAAGACAAAACCTGAATAATATATTTTCTGCCCTCTTTTATTTATCTCCCAATTCCCGCTCGTTCGCGATAAAGAGCCAAAATAGGAAATTCTATCTTCGTAGGAGAAATAACATTATTTGCTAAGCCGGTAGTGCTTTTTTTTTATGAATAATTCAAAAGATCAGTTGTATCGACTTCTATCTTTGCGGTTCCATTGCAGAAAAGTTTCACTTCCGGGGTCGTTTGAACCCTAATCAAAATATGAACGATGCCATTTCGATTCTTTTAATAAACTCGGTATACTCTGCAGACATTACGAGTAATCCATTACAGTGGTCCGATTGATCAATTAACTTTTTCAATTAATTAATATTTATGCGAGCGGTGAGGTTGAGATGGGAAGTTAGTGTCCGAGTGGATCGAAGCCATGATAGCTCAAGTGGTCGAGCAGTGGCGTATTTAGCCGAGGGTCGTGGGTTCGAATCTCGCTCGTGACGCTGTCTTTTTTACTCAACCAATACCTTTCATAAACAATAATTAATTGAAAAAAGTTAATTGGTCAATAGGACCTCGAACTGTAATGAATTTAATAATTAAATTGAACTAAATCTTCCCGAAAGCTCTCCGTGGCAATTTCATTTGTCGCCGAGAATCAAATAGATTACTCGACATTTGAAAAATGGCAAAAAGGAGGAGAAATTCTAAATGTTGGGTTGAGATGGGAAGTTATAGTCCGAGTGGATCGAATCCATGATAGCTCAAGTGGTCGAGCAGTGGTGTATTTAGCCGAGGGTCGTGGGTTCGAATCTCGTACGGACGCTGACTTTTTTTACCTCAACCAATACCTTTCATAAACAATAATTAATTGAAAAAAGTTAATTGGTCAATAGGACCTCGAACTGTAATGAATTTAATAATTAAATTGAACTATATCTTCACGAAAGCTCTCTGTGGCAATTTCATTTGTCGCCGAGAATCAAATAGATTACTCGACATTTGAAAAATGGCAAAAAGGACGAGAAATTCAAAATGTTGGGTTGAGATGGGAAGTTATAGTCCGAGTGGGTCGAAGCCATGATAGCTCAAGTGGTCGAGCAGTGGCGTATTTGGCCGATGGTCGTGTGTTCGAATCGCGCTCGTGACACTGACTTTTTTATCTCAAACAATACCTTTCATAAATATTAATTAATTAAAAAAATTATCAGTATTATTCAATAGATATGTTTCATATTTCCTTTTCTTGAAAACCCAACCTATTGTTCACCCTCATTGCGATAATCCTAGGATTTGAAATGTGAAATAATTTTGTAAGACATGTTTTTCAAGGATTAACGCGATGACAACTGTCTGAAATGACAAAAGAAACGTTATTCGCATTACTAAAACTGTATCCTTCATTTCAGAGACTGGAAGTGTTGAATTTGAGAGATTCACAGCCCTTCTGGGAGACAAGATCAGGTTGAAAGGCTGGGATAAGTACAGGGGAGGACTCGACGTCAAAGGTATGTCGGTATACAACAATTTTTGAAACTCCCAATTACTATCCACTCGATTAGGGATGGCAATATTTAATCTATATATCGGAAAACCGATATATCGTGAAAAATCCATCGATATTTTTAATTTTAGATACATTACGACTATTTTATAATATCCATATGAGCTAGCCCAACTGGAAGAAACGAACGATATTAGTAACGGTAAAAACATCCTCATGGTCATAAATAATTATATCATTCTTATTAAGTGTTATAAAAAAGGTATAAAATAAAATTGATTTAGGTTATAAAAATTAAGGTTTTTAAGCCCTTCGAGTATGTTTTACAAGTTGCCACTTGCTTATCTTTTTCCTCAGCATTTCCAAACAAAACTTTTTGACTTTTTCCCGGGGAAAGTGGCATAATAAAATCGTAATTGAAAATTGTGCGCAGGAAAGGAAATATAGATGCCGATGCTGACGCAGAAGGCAGAATGGTAAGTTAGGTTTACCCCCGGACCTCGGTTTAGGCTCAATTAAAATTATATACTATATATATTTAATAATAATAAAAATTATATACATATATCGATGTCTCATACCGGACGGCAGTCTCTAATCCCCTTTGACACACGGGATATTTTTTTAATTATTTATCCGATAACTAATTTAAAAAAATGTATAGTCAAGTTTTTGTAATTTAATTTTTTTTTGTAAATAAAAATGAATATATCGATACATTTGAACGAATAAATATTTCAAGTATCTAGTCAAATATATCGATAAAAATATACTCGATATATGTAGAAATATATCGATATATCGTTGCCATCCGTACCTCGATACTCATTTCAACATTAAATGGTTAATTTTAGTTTTATGGTTCAATGATAATTCACAAATAATCTGGATATCGGTAAGGTCTTGATGAAAAAACAAATCTAATTGTTAGTGTCAAGCTTTCGATTTATTTTATGCTCATCAATGTACATATTTCTATAGTTAAAATTTATACTTTCCATTGTAGTATGTAGAACCTCTTTTATTTGGTGTAATCGAGACTCTTTTTCCGTTATTTCAATATTAAAAAAATCAAAATGCACCCTACTTATTAGTGAATGTTTCGAGAGTCCAGTACCATTTCTGGATCTGTTACCACAATTAGAAGCAAGACCAGAAATTTTATGCTTTATTTTCTGTTTTGTTTGACCAATGTATTTTATTGGACATTCGCTACCCGAAATCCTATGAACAACATTCGATAAATTCAACATTTTTCCATATTGATGTTTCATTCTCGTCTGTTGTGTTGAGAATGCTCTTTTTGAATTCCGTGTTTTCGTTCTTCTCGTGTAGAAATGCGTGGTGTTTAGTGACCGTCACTTGATGATTATTCGGAGGTCGTGAGATGCGGTCTGGTGTGACGTAGGTTTTAGAAAAATATTTTCTTTATCGTGCCAACGTTTCGATCTTTATTGAGATCATCTTCAGGGCTCAAAGTGTTTGATTTGTTTAATTCCACTTCCCTGAATAAATAATATACCTCATATACCAACAATGGCCAACCTGGATGGAATTGGATTTAGTGATTTCTCAGGCTTTTTAAATATGATAAGAAAAGTTCATGTAAGTTGAAAAGGTGCCGATAGAAATTACAATTATAAACAAACACTTCGAGCCTGAAGATGATCTCAATAAACATAGAAACATTGGCACGATAAAGAAAATGTTTATCTAAAACCTACGTCACACCAGAGCGCATCACAAGAACTCCAAATAGTCATTTTTTCCATATCCTATTTTAGTATACAAAAAATTCATTTTATTCTTGTACCTGTAACAATTGATGGCTGGTATTTCTTTATCACATGGGACTGGGAATCACTGGGTCTTACGCTATGCTCGCGCGTCCAGGCTCATTCCTTGCACATCTGCTGAAATGGGGGAAAATTTCTATCTCCACACTATCAACCTGCATGAACTTTTGTTATCATATTTAAAAAGCCAGCCAATCCTGAGAATCACTAAATCCATTTAAATCCAGGTTTGCCAGTGTTTTTATATGAGGTATATTATTTGTTCAGGGAAATTGAATTAAATAAGCGTTTTACATCGAAGGAATCCAAAAGATCCTTTTTGGATCATCCTTTTCATCTACGTGTTTGTCTCACAAAAAGTCAGACATTTGGTCCTAACTAGGGTTCCCCGGTATGAAGTATCGATACTACACAAATATCCGATGAAAAATATCGATACTTCTAGTACTCTGTTGATGACTTTATTTTATCGCCAATAAACAACAGTTGTAGTCCGCTCAACAACTACAAAACTTTATCATGTCACAGAGACACTTAATATAATGAATTTAATACGTAAAACGAAGTATATTTTCACTAAGAGCTCTCCCTGGCTAATTCATTTGTCGCCGAGAATCGAATCCTGATTACACGACATTTGACAAATGGCAAAAAGGAGGGAAAATTCGAAAGTTGTAGGTTGGGATGGGGATTTTGTGTCAGAGTAGATCGTAATCACGATAGCACAAGTGGTTAGAGCAGCTGTGCATTGAGCCGAAGGTCGTGGGTTCGAATCCCGCTCGTGAAACTAGCTTTTTCATTTCAACCAATACTTTATATACTATATTTATGCTTTTATAAAGTGAATGGGTTAATTTTTTAAAGTAGCATAAAAATTGTTATTTTATAAGTTACATATAAATAAATTTAATAAAACTCTTTGAAGCACCATTTATATGTTAATAATGAATTAAACGACAATGATATATTCACCTCGCAAAGCGTAAAACATTTAAACAAAGACACGAAAATTTATTTAAATGGTTTGAGAATATGATGGCTAATAATGAATTATTTCAGGCGACATGACTGGAAAATATTCTGTCTACACGATCTACGAGGGCCACGAGATCATGTTCCATGTTTCAACGTTGCTTCCTTATTCAAAGGACAATAAACAACAGGTAAGAAAAGGGAAGTTGTTAGAGATAACAACACTTACATTTATCGTGACTGACAAAAAAAAATTCGTTTAGCTGATTTAGTCTTTTTATATCATTTTTATATCTTCTTTAAAGGGAAAGGTGAAAAGCGCATTAAGAAGACATTTCATTTTAATTACTAGAATTGATAATGTTCTAATCTAGCCGATCTTTAACGATTCATGATTTTATATTTGAATAAAATACTTTCTTGTCTTATTTCTAAAGATAAAAAACAATTTAGTAAAGCAAAGTACCGTAATGATCGAATTAAATTTAATTAAAAAGGTGTTATTAAAGCGTTTATATACAGGGTGGTTAGTTATGAGTTGCTAAAGAAGGATCATTTCAAAAAAAGGAGACGATTTATAAGATGGTAGGCTAAAAATATTTTTTTTATAAAAAATTTAAAAATAACTTTTTAATTTAATTATAAATTTTAATAACTGTCAATAGAATTTTGCCGGAAAAACGGGTTTCCTAACTCACTCAAAATAAGATACGATTTTTTCCGGAGAAACGAACTTTTCACGCACAAAAGAAAAGAAAATTCTTCGTTAAACTTTTCATGAAAATCGGATGTTTCTACAATCTACTTTAAATTGTCTAAAGATTAAATCATATATTGAACCATTTTAGTCCAACTGATACCTGTTTCGGTGGCACATGCATTTAAAATTTAAACATTGGACGGTTTTTGGAAAATTTTTAATACTCACCTTGATAAACCGACAAAGAGGTTGGCCAATTTTTCCGCTTCAATTGAATAAGCTTTTGAATTATATGCTTCCTAAGACCAGTACTTTTTTCTAGGGATGGGTAGTTCAAATCTTCAAAACATACGGGTCATTACTTTTTTGACAAATACTACTAACCACAAATTATCACAATCGACTCTACGTTGTGGGATACAAACGGCCTAAAAAAATTTTATAAGTAGTGAAAACATAAAGGTAAAATGAGCTCGAGAACACGCCAGTCTTGACTTCTGGGAAAATGTGAACTTCTTAGATAAAAGTAAGCTTAACATGTTTGGACATTATTGGCCCATTAGTTTTGAGGATATCAAATCTGGAATTAGGTTTTTAAAACATAACCGACTATGAAGCGTGAAGAAGCAAGTTATAGAGAGCCATGACTCTGTGAGCTCGTCATATTGGAGCATGATTATTATGAAATCGTGAGATGCGGTCAGCTAATTGTGAAAGAAAAATCGCTTGAATGAGACACTTTTAATTTTTTTATCCGCCTTAAAATTTGTACTAAAAATGCCTATTTTAAATTGATCAATTTTCTAATTGAATTATAGTAATTATTTACTATATCCTATATAAAGTACAATATGTATACTTAAATATTTCCTTACGTAAATTTCAAAAAAATCTTTTATCTGGGTTGCAACAATGTTGGAGAAGCCATTTTATGCGGTATGTTATAATTATAATCTATTGTAATATGATACATTTTCCGACCTTAACCCACTCATTTTCAAACAATCTAATTGTTTAATATACTTAAAAAACTGTTTGATAAACATTTCGTATTTATTTTAATGATTTATATGAAAAAGGAAAATATTAGAAAACGACAAAAACGGAGGGGTCAAAAGGAACCGTTTATTAAGCCCTCTGCTGTTTTCACAGTACATAAATGATTTAAAAGAATGTTAATTTATGAAAACTTTACATAAATCTAGCTAAATCTAAAATAATGTCTTTAAAAATGGCTGGAGATATTGACGATAATTTTATCTCTGCTTCTAATTTTTTTATTGAGTTTAAGGCATTCTCCAAAATAGCACATTTTCATAGATAAAATTATCGTCAATGTCCCCAGCCATTTTTAAAGACCATTATCTTAGATTTAGCCAGATTTATGTGAACGTTTCATAAATTAACACTTTCTTAAATCATTTATGTATTGTGAAAACAGCAGGGGGCTTAATAAACCGTTCCGTTTGTCCCTTCCGTTTTTGTCGTTTTCTAATATTGTCCTTTTAATATAAACCATTTGAATTGTGCATCAAACAGTTTTTAAGTAAATTAAACAATTAGATTGTTACAAATACAATTGATACAAATTTTTTGATCTAACATTTAGGGAAGTTAGTAAGTAAAATAAGTACAATTAAAAAAATAAGTACAATTTTTTTAAATAATTTGTTTTGGCAGAATTTGTAAGTATCTTTCCTCAGGCTTGTTCACAACTTTTAGCATATAAAGCTATAAGGCAATTTTAAGCCTTAAAGATGCATGGTTCATAATCATTTCAAAAAAAGCAGACGATTTATGGCAGACTAAGAAGACTTTTATAAAAAATTTAAAAACAACTTTTTAATTTAATTATAAATTTTAAGCCCCCTGACTTGAGCACTATAGCATGTTATTGCTCTATGTACCGTATTAAAAAAATGAGTTGAGCCTCAACTGATATTTTGCTTACTTGGGACAGATAGTTCTACATCGCATCTTTATACCTCTTTTCACCTAAGGAAGTTTTCCTGGAATATGATTTGGTAAAGACATAGTAGGCGTAAAGTTTTCCCCTATCCTTTTACAGAGTTTTACCACTTCTATCTCACTACCCTAAAAGTATCATCTTTTATTTCTTGCTAGTCGTCCACAGCCATTTTTAAAGACGAATATGTTAGATTTAACAAGATTTATGTAAAGTTTTCATAAATTAACATTCTTTTAAATCATTGATGTAATGTGAAAACAGCAGAGGGCTCAATAAACGGTTCCGATTGACCCCTCCGTTTTTGTCGTTTTCTAATATTTTCCTTTTTCATATAAAACATTAAAATATGTATGGAATGTTTATTAAACAGTTTTGTAAGTAATTTAAACAATTAGATGGTTGGCAAATGAGTGGGTTAAGGTCGTAAAACGTATCATATTACAATATATTATGGTTATGACATACCGAATAAAATGGCTTCTCCAACGTGTTGCAACCGAGATAAAAGATAATTTTTTTTAAATTTACGTAAGGAAATATTTAAATATACATATTTTACTTTATAGAGGATATAGTAAACAATTAATATAATTCAATTAGAATATTGATGAATTTAAAATAGGCATTTTAGTACATATTTTAAAGCAGATAAAAAAATTAAAAGTGCCTTTTCGAGAGATGTTTGTTTCACAATTAGGTGATATTGATTTTGGTCACATTCCCGACTTTACCTCTAAGTCCCTTGGTAATTTGATGTCACGTTATGTCAAAAATAAAATTAAAATTGCCACCTTCAAAGAATAGAAGGGGAAAAATCCAAAGACGTCAAGTATTTTTACTATTAATTTACTACATGTCCGATTTAAATATTTCTTACAGTATTATTATTAGCTTATTGTGAATTAGGTAAATAAACTTTTTAAGTAATTAGATTCCTAATTTTTAAATATTACTGGTTTAAATAAGCTCATTTGTATATGGATGTGTGGTGATTAGTGACCGTTAATCGATAATTATTCAGAAATCGTGAGATGCGGTCTGGTGTGATGTAGGTTTCAGAAAAACATTTTTTTATCGTGGCAACGTTTCGATATTTATTGAGATCATCTTCATGGCTCAAAGTGGGCACTCTCAACACGACACACAAGAATGGCACAATTACACAGAAGACAAACACTTTGAGCCCTGAAGATGATCTCAATAAAAGATCGAAACGTTGGCACGATAAAGAAAATGTTTTTCTGAAACCTACATCACACGGACCGCATCTCACGATTTCACGATTTCTGAATAATTTGTATATGGAGTTGAGCCATTTTGTCATTTTTCGCAGTCCACCGACAATGCCAGCTTTTGTACTTTACAATGACTTTTTGGCAGGTCTAAATATGGGGCGATTTGGAAAATATATGGGATACACGAATAAAGCTTGTAAAAATACTCGCAAGATCTTAAATAGTGGTGATTTGCTCCATCTAAAGAAGATCCTATACCCATTTTTTATTTTGGCAGTCCGAGATCAAATATCGTTCTCATCCGTCCAGCCGACGAGGTTGCATTCCAAGGGCAAGCAACAAATCACTATTCAAAAACGCTTTCTTATTTATATACCATTCCATTTGTACGTGTGGTGGAGTGCCCTTTGCAAATAATAGAAGGTCGATGGAACCCAATGTTCCGCCACTGGCCCTTTCACGCTACATTCACGCTAATAAATACATTCACTTTTTAGCATACGCTAGGGTCACAAAATTGTCCGTAGTATAAACAGTAAAACAATTCTATTTTATTCAAAGACCGGATCAGAGGACCCAAATACTCGCTGCCGTTCTCACATATCGGATGACATTCCTACGCGCTTTCTATATGGAGGCAAAGAATCGTCCTTTCAATTAGGTGGATCGAGCAACCTTTCCCTGTAAGCCGGATATATACGCAGGCTTTGGTCCAAAAGAGCTTGTGTGTCAACCTCGTATCTCCTATCCTTAATCGGGTGAGGTTTCTTCTAAGAAATAGATCATTCAAGGGCCACCTCTTGGTATGTAGGCTTCTCTACCGATCCGGCCAACCCGGAACCAAATACTCAGAACCCATGGGAAAGCACACCAGTATCTTCCAAGCAGAAATTCATGCAATTGAAAGATGTATCCAATTCAATCTAAATAAAGGATACAAAAACAAGAATATAGCTATCATGTCAGATAGCCAAGCAGCCATCAAAGCACTAAGCTCAAATACCATTAGTTCAAGGATGGTGCTGAACTGCAAAACCAAATTAAATACATTAGGCTCGCAGAATAAAGTCAGCCTCTGCTGGGTCCCAGGACACATGGGAGTAGAAGGTAATGAGGAAGCGGACACCCTGGCAAGAAAAGGGGCTGCCACACCGCTAATAGGACCTGAACCCTTCTGTGGAATAGGAACACACACTATCAACGAATACCTCAGACAGAAGGATAAAAAGAAAATGAGCGAACTTTGGAACTCACTTATTGGACACAGACAATCCAAGAATTTTCTAACCAACTTTGGCAAGAAAGAAATCACAGAATGTGTCAAAGGAAGCAGGAACAGACTGCGAATCCTAACAGGATTCCTGACAGGACACTGTAGATTAAATGGACATCTAAAGAAAATTGGAATAATCCAAGATGGCACATGTAGATTCTGCAAAGAAGCAGAAGAGACACCAACACACTTACTAACAAACTGCGGACCTACACTAGCCCGCAGGAGGAAGTGTTTTGGGATGTACAATGTGACCATAGAAGAACTACAACCACTGAAACCGGGCCTATTAATCAAGTTTCTTGATGAAATAGGACTCACCGATGTGCTTTAGGCAGAGCACAGGGGATACAATAGCTCTTAAAGGGCGCTGTATACCATACCATGAAATATTACATCTATCTATCTATCTATCTAACCGATGCTGCCACTTTCTTTTAAAAATGTTGTCTTGGCATTTTTAGTGTTAAGTTCGGAGCTTGGACGCCCGGACTGCTGCCTTCTGTCTTTTTGTTCAGTATCCGGATACCCAGATAAGAACCATGCATTGCTGAGACGCTCCAGGTTATGGTATCTCTCCAACAAGAGCGCAACTAATTTTTATTATAGTTAACAAAATATTGGGTTGTCCGGAAAATAATGCAGGATTTTAAGTTTTCATTAAAAAAAATCTATATAAAATATTCTGTTTACGTTTACAGGATTACTCATTTGTATGAATGTCAACACTTATTAATCCTCTTCCAAATGATATTGTTTGTTTACCTCTGTAGCATTCCGCTACTTGGAAATAATTCAGTCATCCTTATAATGTCAAAGCGAGAATTTCGTACGATTTTCTTTTACGAGTTTAAACTCGGCCGAAGCGGAGCCCAAACGGCTAGAAACATTAACCAAGTCTGGGGCGAGGGTTGTGTTAATGAGTGCACTGTGCAAAGGTGGTTTAAAAAATTTCGGGAGGGAGATTTCAGCCTTGAAGATGAAGAAGGTCGTGGAAGGCCTTCCTCTCTTAATGATGATGTTCTGCGATCAGTGGTGGAAGAAAACCCCAAAACAACTGTTCGAGAACTTGCAGAGCAACTCAAAGTCAGTAAAACGACCGTCGCTGACCACCTCAAGGCGATTGGAAAAGTGAAAAAACTCGAAAATTGGGTTCCACACTCATTAAACGATCGCCAAAAAAATCAGCGCTTTGATGTTTGTGCATCACTTCTTTGTCGAAACAAAAATGACCCATTTCTGGCCAGAATTGTTACATGTGACGAAAAGTGGATTCTCTACGATAACACTAGACGTTCTGGACAGTGGCTCGACAAAGGAGAAGCTCCAATACATTTTCCAAAGCCCCCAACTCATCAAAAAAAGGTAATGGTTACGGTATGGTGGGCTTCATTTGGTTTAATACACTACAGCTTCTTAAATCCTGGCGAAACCATCAATGCTGAATCATACTGTAACCAAATTAATACCATGCATCAGAAATTGGCAGTAATGAAGCCCTCTTTGGTCAATCGGAAAGGGCCCATTTTGTTGCATGACAACGCTCGACCACATGTGTCACGTGTAACGTCACAAAAATTATTGGAGCTTGGCTATGAAACTTTGCCTCACCCACCCTACTCTCCGGACCTCTCGCCTACTGACTACCATTTTTTTAGACACCTGGACCACTACTTACAACACATAATATTCAAAAATCAAACGGAACTGGAAAATGCATTTATTGACTTTATCAATTCTAAAAATTCTGAATTCTACTCAGACGGAATTAATAAGTTACCAACACGTTGGGAGAAATGTATTGAGAGTATGGGAAATTATTTTGATTAAAGAACATTGCTTTAAAGTAACTAGTTTCTTTTTTTTTTGTTTAATACCAAAATCCTGCATTATTTTCCGGACAACCCAATAGTTTTTAAACTGTTTAATTAATAGTTTAATAATTTTTCCACCATGTTCATTTAATAAATTGGAGAGACTTAAGAGCCATGTTTTTCTCACGCATAATACCTGTCGAATCAGTTGCTTTCTTATCCACCAAAACATGAAAAGCAATGGACACTAAAAATGAAAGAAATCTTGGAGGTTGTAGCATTGATATCGTGGTAAACCAAACCGTTGAGAAACATCAGTGAAGTTTTTGACAAAATTGGCACACTTTTATTTAAAAATTAAAATTCCTTTAACGAAATTAAAATTTATCTCAATTTTCCTATTTTCAAATTTATAAATATTTGCGTGCTTTCAGTTAAAATAAAATGGAACAAGAACTTGGTTTGTGTATGTCGTCTTGAGGTATGTGTCGCGAACTTTTTAAATCCCAGATACTCGTACCAGAACAGTCACGTCTATTATTATCTTCAATTAATTAATCTTTAAGTACGGTATTGGTTGAGATAAAAAAATTCAATGTAACGAACGGGATTCGAACTCACGACCTTCGGCTAAATACGCCGCTGCTCTACCACTTGAGCTATCATGACCTCGATCCACTCGGACACTAACTTCCCATCTCAACCACACCTTTTGAATTTTCCCTACTTTTTGCCATTTTATCTCAACCAATACCTTACTTAAAGATTAATTAATTGAAAATAATTTATTTGGTCAATCGGACCACGAAACCTAGTCGATTACCTTCAACTTACCTTTAAGGCCTGCTATTTGTGAATCACCCTGTATATGCTAAATAATGTTTCTTTCAATGCCGATAATATGATAATACAAATTTACGAGGGCATATTAATATCATTATATATGACACTGTGCAGATGGTGTGAAATCTAGGAATAAAAATCAATTTGCAATGACCGTTTTCATAAATAAAATTATTCTTGAATATATTCTTGACTTAACACTGATATTTTTTAGGTCGAAAGAAAACGTCACATAGGCAATGATATAGTTAACATTGTATTTGTGGAAGGTGGACCGTCGGAGATGGTCAACTTCAATCCGTCTTGCATCAAATCTCACTTCACTCGTATCCTTCTACTTATTACAACTAATTTGTCATAAAAAAGTGTATTTTTCTTAATTTCATAAAAATAGACGTGTTTGCCGTTGTTAGCTACTGCGCCGAAAACTCCTCATACAGACTGGTCGTGTACTCGGAGGAGTCTGTGCCGCTTTTCGGCCCATCACTGCCATGCCCCTCCGTCTTCAAAGACCCGAGCGAATTTCGAGAATTTCTTCTCGTTAAACGTAAGATTGAATAAACAAAGGCCTAGAAACAATGATAATTATTTCATTTTTCAGTGATCAACGGAGAAAAGGCGACCTTCAATACGCCTATATTTGCTCAGAAAAGGGAGAGAACGTTGGACATGCTGATCAAAGATCTTTGCGCCGAGCAGATGGGGGATGCCAGTAGAGCGGTTAGTACAAATGTTTGCATACTCATGAAAGCCCCCATTTCTAGAAATTATGAATGATGGAGTGAGTGCGGTATTCAATCCTTTTTTTAAAAAGATAGTTCCTACTCACAGTAAGTTGTTTTCCAACGATCCGAATTTCGAGCCCCTTAGCTCATCATCAGGTTGAAGAATTTTTACAACCACCTCTCTCGACATGAATTGTAAAAGTCAACCCGCCGATTCCCCCGCCAACAGGACGTTCCAATTAGCAGCTGGGTTTTAAAGCCGCTCAATTTTAAACGTGCGAAAAACGGGAATTATAACACAAATAAATATTACAATAGTAAATACTTAATATTATTAAATTATTATACAAATAATAACAATTAAAATGATTAATTTAATTATTTGGACGTTTAATATTATTTATGTACGTACTTAAAATAGGAGGTAGATCAAAATCTATTATATTATTAATACACTTAACTCCATGTTCAATTTTACATTTTTAATTTCAAATTTCTCAAACTAATCAAGTTCTCTCCCTTTGTTTAAACTATGTAACACTATTGTATTTAAATTTGAATTGAAATTATACTTTGTTTCTTTTAGATGGTCCTTAAATTCCGAAAATTTGTTCCAATTAGCCAAGTGTGTTCTTTTACTCTCGTTTTTATTTCTCTACCGCTTTAATATCACAATCAATTCAATTAAGTTGGTAAACCCCGCTTTTTGCCAAGTTGTCTTGGCAAAAACTTCTTTTACGTCTTCACTTAAAAACATCCTCTCAAAACCTGAAGACAAGGCAGACAAATTAGCAAAAAGCGGGGTTTACCAACTTAATTGTAATGATTGTGATATTGGTAAAATTGTACATGGAAATAAATGCATTAATATAATAAATTTTGATCTACCTCCCATTTTAAACATGTACAGAAATGATATTAAGCGTTCAAATAATTAAATTAATTAATCTAATTTTCATTAATTTTACCATAATTTACTAATCTTTTATTAAGGTATTATTCTAATTTAATTTTTATCTTTTATCTTTAATCACTAATTTATAATTAATTTCTTACAGTATTTACTAATATAATATTTACTTGTGTTATAATTCCCGTTTTTCGCACGTTTAAAATTGAGCGGCTTTAAAAACCAATTTCTCATTGGAACGTCGCGTTGGCGGGGGTATCGGCGGGTTCACTTTTGCAATTCATCTCGAGAGATGTGGTTGTAGAAATCCTTCAATCTGATGACGAGCTAAAAGCTCGAAATCCGGATCGTTGGAAAACAACTTACTGTGAGTAGGAACTATCTTTTAAAAAAAAGGCCCCCATTTCTTGACTCGCTTTTCCAAAAATCTATTTTAAAATGTTTATTGTTGTTTCGAAACTGTGAAACGTTAATCTTCTTTGAGGCGAATCGAATGTTTTTCTTTCTGCGGACTTTCCCAAATCCCAGATGCCAGACTCACTGCTAAACAGTGATGCCTATTATTAGCTCTGTGCTATGGGAAGATGTCATGTTCATTGTTCTGTTTTTTCTTTATAGACGAATAAAACAGAATTGTTAAAATTAATTTAATTAATTAATAATTTAACTATTAGCTCCATATTTCTTGAAATCAGATCTAAACCAAAAATTAAGTAGTTATTTCGGTATTGTAGAATGACCTAGATTCATATCTATTCAGACCGCCTGCTAACTTAAATTTATAATTTACCCCGTCTTTGCGAACAAGGAACGTCTTATAACCTGTTCCCCTCAACCGTTTCCATTTTAATAATTCTTGGTCTTTTGATAGTATTTCAATGGTTAAACCAAACCTCTTGGAGGTCCTGTTAATTATGTTCCAATATAAAAAAAAGATGTAACTCTTCTTTTATCAAGACTACTTATTATGTTGTATGTTTAAGACATGCTAAAACATGATTAAATTTAACGCATGTTCACATCAACCAAAACGACAAGCAGTTTCACTAATTAACTAGATTAATATGCATTGTAAAAAACTGCAATCTCCTTCTTTAAACAGGATCCGATCCTCAGGCCAACTCGTTTTAATGTTATTCTCAAGTTGTTTCGACATTTATTCTGGTCATCTTCAAGGTATAAAGTGTAGTGCTATTCTTGTGGTGTTACATTGTTACATTGTTTTGGGTGAAGTGTTATGCTATTCTTAATGATGTGGGAGCTGAGCGGGAAAGCTACAATGTGGGTTAAAATGGTTAAAGCCAGAGGTTAAGGACAATAAATTAGAAATTAATCATCAAATGGCAGAGTATCAAATGTTTACTCTGCCCGTAAAAACTTGATATTGTCCTTAAACAAAAGGAAAATATTCTGCCCAGCACATATTCAGCAATCAATCAAGGTGTGACACTAGGTAATAAAACAGGATGGAAGAATCACGTTGATGCATTAGTCTCGAAATGCAAAAAAAACTGAACATGCTTAAGCGATTAGCAGTCATATGGTGGGAAGTAAATCGTGATGTTACCTACAAAACCTGGAATATTGACTGTATCCAGTCACACTGAAATGCTGTTGTTTTAGCTATAACCAACAATCTGATCATAGTCTCTGAAGAGGTAAAATGTTTAATAAGTGTTTTCAACACTAACGGAAACCGAGGCCATTCTGGTCATTGCCGCCTGCTTGATAATAAGTCAATAATCTATCCAAGAAGCATGTGTAGTTGATCTAATCAGATCAACCACTACTTCTTAACCCAGTACAAAGATTAATTAATTAAGATTATTAGAAGTTTGCAGGCCCAAGGCCGTAGCACAGACTTTCCCTCTCTGCCGGATATACAATGCAGTTGGTGATCTAGAGATGTAGGTACTTGCCTCAGGGTGGCCACTGAGCTCGACTACCTTCAAAAGCATTTATTCAGGATGGGGATCTTTGATAGCCATCACATTGCCAGCTGCATTGGCAAGAGGAAGTTGTCTTTGACCATTTAAATCTTTTTGCTGCAGTACCTCCAGTGTGTAATGCAAAGACTATTTAAAAGGACACGCAAGAGTACTATGCTGCTAGATGGTGGAAAAAAATCATAAAATCGTAAAAGATAGTTTGCATGAGGCATGTGACCCAAACTTGATTATTGAACCTTTTATACAGTAATTTTTTTTGACATTGGATACCAGGAAGAGTTCCCACAGAGCACTGCAGATGTTCAGCTTCTTGTACTTTATCCCTAGCTCCATTTTTGGGGGCTCGCAACACGAGTATGAATTTGAGCCTCCGGTGTGCCGATGTTCTTCCATCGAAGAAACTCATGTTTGAAATTAGTTGGGACCAAATTTAGGGTCACTGAAATCTGATCCCACTCCTTCCATTGATGAGTGCCGTGTCAATTTTTTTTTTCAATTGCGGCCACCGGTCCCCTTAGGAGTCAGAAAAAAGTCCAAAGGCGACGGTGGGGATCGAACCCACGACCGCGGGTTCTAATAGCCGAGAGTTTGAAGCCTTAACCACTCGGCTACCGCGGCCCCCTTTATATTGTAATAGTAATTCATGAATATATTTCCAGACTATGCTTAACCGAAGGGCGTTCAGCGACGTTCTCCCGGATCCTCCCAGGGGTTCAAGGAGAAAGGAAGAAGCGAGGCAAGTGGAGTTCGTTAGAATTGGCCAGGCGCTGAAACTGGAAACTATAGTGAAAGGGGACGCACCAACCTCGTTGGCGACAACCGGTCTGTACAAGCGAGCCCCATGGGAGCCTCACTGCTTCTACCCTGACTTCAGTCACGAAATCATCTGTGGGGATTCCTGGGGCGAGTCGAAGTTGGTCGTGTCGACGGAGACAGGGGTCTTTCTAGTCGAAGGTTTGCATGACGTTTTGAATATTAATATCAATCTAACTTTCATTATTTGCAGATGGGTTGTCCCATAAACAAATTTTCGACAAATCGGTCGTCATCAAACAGCTCAACGTTGTCGAAGCTCATGGGATCCTACTCTTCCGAGCCGATAAAGGGAGAGACAGCAAAATCCACGTTTTCAGGTTGTCGGATTTTGACTCGGACTGCCAAGCCGAGCCCAGGGTTTACTCGAGGCCGGACCTTAAGGAACACAAACTCGATCGGACAAAAGGGTCCACCATGTACGCTGTGAGTCGTCCTGGTGGTTCACATCTGAGAATGGTAATGCTAATTAAGTTAGAAATTTAAACAACCTCTACAAATGTTGATACACAGGTGGTGAGCCTGGGAAAGAAACTTCTAGTCATGCAGTGGAGGCATTCAGCTGCCTGGACAGCATGGTGTCCAGCCAGCGACACTGACACAGTAGACGGATTTCAGTGTTTAAGGGTAATATATAACTACTTTATTAATCGTAGCTATAGTTTTGGCCCAATTGTTCATTGTGTCAAAATATGACACGAGGATCTTCCCTTGGTTGGCATTTTTATACACACACTGACCTTGTTGGTAAACGTTGGTATTAAAATAATAAATATTTGATTCACATTCACTAATTCATCAACAATTTGCTGTGTAAAATTCTGTTCTTGAAATTGTTACTGTATCACCATCCTACTTGAATTAACTTACATTTAAACTTAAAAATGTTCTTTGTAAAAAAAAAATTCATAATTTATAGGTTAAGTGTTTGGTTGCAAATGCATCATGAAAGTTTGCTTGGATTTCCACAGGAAATTTCTATACCGGAATCACCCACGCTCATGACCCTCGTGGATTCTTCGGTGGCGGCATCAGCAGGAGGGATCGCTGATAATACCATATGCATCGGCTACAAAAACATGTTTGACATTGTCAACGAACGGAGCGGAGAAGTCAACAAGCTATTCAGCATCGCCGAGGGCACAAAGGCACACCTGATCGCAGCAGTCGACCTGTACGAAGACGAAGAGCCAGAACTACTCCTTTGTTACAACAGTAAATAATTTAAATTATGATTTCATAAGCAAGGTATTGCATCTAAATTGCTGATATTATTCTCTCTTTCAGATACGTGTCATTTTCAAAAGTTATCCGACAACACATCCAACACGGATTTCGACTTTCATTGGAACTCAATTCCTACTGCAATTGGTAAAACATACTGTTTACATAACCTATTGGTTTTAGCATTCCCTCATTTTATTAACAGAATAAAATCTTACATTCAATACTATATATTCTAAAATACTTAGATAAACAATAATCTAGCTATTAATGCCGAGGAATCTTTAGCATGATGGGTGTTCACCTGGGCCATCTTCATGTCGTCCATGTGTGCCATTGTTTTACGTGAGAAGGTGTGTCCTCGTACAAATAACATGGCATTATCCTGCATTAGCAAGAATCTCTCAGCGATGTGTGGGGAAAATGTAATCATCATCCTTTGATTAAAATATTGGACCGAACACAAATGCTATTTCGTCATGCATGCAAGATATCGCCAACACACGGTTTGATGAGGGTTCCGACAATGGCATGTGCTTTACCTGCCTGTGCCACTCGATAACTCATCAAATAAGACGCTTTTAGTGAGTTTTAGATAACAGTTTTTCATGAATTTTAATGAAGGTTCGAGCAGCCAGTTCAGTGCGATTCCTCATGAATAATCAGTCTGTTTCTCCCGGAGTTCTGTGTACCCTCAAAATGACAAGGCAATTTAACTGTGACGCTGCTCTGTTGAGTAATATTGTAGAATCTGACCACAGGAATTGGTGCTCGAGATTCATCTGTAAAGACGTTTGAACCATGCACACCAGTGTGGCCAATAGAAGCTTTCCACATAATTAATTCTAGCCTGAAAAGACTAATTTTCATTAAAGGAGATATGGTCGATGTGGTGGCCACATATAGTTACCACAACTAGATGCCACTACCGTTTATGGAGTGTTTTCGCCCACCACTCTGCAGCCAATCAGAGTAGAGTTCTTCCGAATATAAGCAAGGGCACTACCCTAATGAAACCAGACTCGTCAACCCGACGAGGTCTCACCTGTCACTAATGGAACACCGTCATCGACATCGACAACGACGAAGCAAGGGTACTCTCAGCATTAGCCTGATTCTCGTCTTCTCAACACAGCCGACTTGGCTAAAAACGCCAACTGCTGCACTTGGCTAATTGCTGCACTTGAGTCCCTTCAGCCACTGAGGAAACAACCGACTCACCGCCCCCACACCTTAGCCAACGGTACACTTGGTCACAGACCACCAACGGCACACACACACACACACACACACACACACACACACACACACACACACATACACGGTCCCGGCCTCGACCCATCGTCTCGACGCTACGAATCTATACCGGCCCTTTTCAGGGCTAACAAAACTCCCAGTCACTAAACGCGATTTTGATATGAGCTGTCAAGAAGTATATATACATATATATATTCCTGTGTAATAGTTCTGAAATAGAACGGCTCCATATGCTTTTTCTCATGCACCACAGAAACTATGGATTTTTTAAAGGTTGTTCTGAATTTTACCAGATGGCAAGTTTTGACTGAAACTTCCTCTTCATTTGGTACATATTCGCCAGCAACCAAATACAAAATGGCACCAACGAACACCATCGAATATAGGAGATATAATTAATACGAAGATTTTTTCGGCATCAACGGGAATGGAAGATTTCCTATTGATTAAGAGGTGTTAGTTTAGAAAGAATTAAATAAAGGAATAAATGAACGAAAGGAGTAATTGAAGGATTCACTGTGTAATGAAATTTCTATGGTTTACAAGATGGACGATGATAGTATTGGAGACCTGAATGCGATGAATACCTCTGAAGGCGATGAAGGCCGGAAAGCGGTGAATGTCTCTGAATGCGATATCGTGCGTTGTTCGGCGATGACTAGGCCAGTGCACTTTCCTGGTTCCAGCAGCGTCGATGATGATGATGATGGATGATGAAATCCAGGTGGCGATGTCAGTGATAGTGATGATGATGGAGTCTTCCGGGGATAATGATGGATGATTCGTTCGTGGGGTTATGATATGATGGTAGATGAATAATGGGATATGAGATATTAAGGGAAAATGATGATGATAGGTTTGGGACCATGCGGTCCGGAGATGAGATATATGCGGAGTTGAAGATCGTATGGCGATATGAAGGGGGATCCGTGAAGATTCGCGTGGCGATGAAACTTTAAGAAACGGCGATCATACACGGTGGTTAATTACTATTGTGCAACACTTAGGGGAGATGACAGGGCGATAGGAGATGTGCACATTCCGAGAGCTGGCGGAGAAGAGAGCCAAAAAGGCTGGAAATGACGAATTTTTGAGGAAAACGGAGGGAAGCGTGTAGTGATTGGTGGATTTTGAGAAGATAGGGGATGTTGATAGAGGGGTACGGTGAACGTCACAAATCGGGCGCGTGCAAATTTATTTTCTGTCTTTGTCGTAGGAATTTTGCCTAATAATGCCGAGTCATTTGCGCGCCATTTATGTATGCTTTCAAGTACCTTTTAACCTCTCTCTCCATCACTTTGACTACAGGATGCTACAATTACAACTTGTATTACCTCCTCTTTAGAATGTTGCAAACCGTGCCCATTACTACCCATCCAAAGGTTGTGAGGTGTAATTTTGGCATGTTCATCCCCAAAGATAGTGACCCTTTAGTATAGAGAAAAATAGTTCAGTTCCAATGAGTATGCCTGATGTGGGGAATTATCACGAATTCTAGCCTTGTCTGAAATGCTCAAATATTCATTTTATAATGCAATTCACTGATAGTTTATCTCTTTCCTCCTATGCCACCAACTAAAAGTTCTTCATAGATTTTCAGTTAAGCAGTATTTTTCTTTTACTTCCTGCATAAAAACCTATGTTTTAACTGAATTTCATGTATTTGGGAAGTACGTTATAATTTTGATGAACAGTGAGATAGTCAGTAACCAAAATGAAAATTTTGAAATTCTTCCTTTTAGAAAAGGTTTAATATTAGGTGCTCAAATTTTTACAATGTCTCAAGAAACTCAAAGTTAATTTGTTTAAACTTGAAAAGCCAATCTAAAGCAGATATGCCTTAGTTTTTTTAAAGGTTTTTATATGTACCCAATGCTTGAATATTATTATTATCTCTTTTTTTGTACAGTTAGAAAATGTGTTGTTTTGTAGTGTGCGCATTTCCATATGTGTTGGCCTTTACTTCAGATTCAATGGAAATAAGGCTAATTATCAATGGGAACCTGGTTCAAACCATGGCCATGCCTAAATTAAGACTTATAACATCAAAGGTCTGTACAAATCAGTTGAATATTTAATTATGAAACTTAACTTTTGTCGTTAAATTGAAAATTATTTTAGAACGACATCTTTTTTGCTACAACAGCTCCTGAATTTTTTCAAAGCAAACCCGAAAGACTTCACATGGATATGAAGACCGAACGAGACAATAGCCTGTCGCCACCATCTTCTCCACACTGTAAGTCCAATTATCTTGAAGGATATTTTGAATGTTGTATGATTTTCTTTTTTTAATGCAGCAATATCACCGGAAGCACGCCCGTTCAGACTGTACAGAATACCATTGCATGCTCTGAGCGGTATAGTGGCCGCATGTGAGCGTCGTTGTCCGACGCCAAGCCCTGAACCCCAACCTGGCACCGGTGAAAGTTCCAGTTCCAGCCTGTCACCCGGATCCCGTCTGCTGGCAGAGCCGCCCCGGGGCATCAGCAGGAGTTGTTCGTCTTCGCCGACACCACAGTCATTTCTCCAGCAGCCCAAATGAGAGAAGGAGTCAAAGCTAATGTTGGGTTCTGTTTCCTGATTGAAGACGTTCAGTTGCTGTCGTTCGCCGGACTTAACCTACGACACCCTTGAACTTGACCCCCTCAGTGGAAAACTATGAGCATAAGGCAAATTATATGGAGACCCTCAATGTTTTTTCCAGTTTGTTAATTGGATAAAAAAAATCATTAATTTCTTCGTGTATCTTCTGCATTTATTCACAACTCATTAAAAATGTGATATATATTATTAATTTCATTCTTTTGTCTAATTATTTTTCTAAAAATATGAAAATAATAGTAAATTAGTTAGAAAAAATATAGAATACTTTTAAAAGAAACTTAGTTCTCCTATTTTTCTAATTAATGATGTATATTTTAAAAAATGTTTCATACAAAAATATTATGTTTTATTACTTCTGTGATGAAATCTATTGTACTTGTAGTAGTCGATGTTAGTAAATAATGAAAACTGAACAGTTTTATAAATCATGACTAAACATTATTGGTTTTGGTGGTGTAAACTCTTTGTGAATTAAAATTCAAAACTGCTATTAATAATGCACAATGTGATAAATTAGTTTCGATGGATTTTTCTTACATAAAAATCTTTGGGTCAGTTATATTATAAAATTATAATTGATTTTGACTTGCATTAGGTCCCATAAAAGGTTTATCATAGCTGGTTTTGGTCTAGCTTTTCCTTCTAGTCTTCTCATTTCAAATATATCATGATTTGTTGTTCCTCATACTTGATCTTCTCATTTCTTGTAAGTTGTCATTTCTTAATACTTAGTTGGTTAGATCTTGGCACTCGACAGTTCTAACTATGAGTCCATTATATGCTCCTGTGTCCTAGGAAGTGCCATTTACAAAATTTGCCCTTTGAATTTTCTTGGACTCGGATGACTGGAAAAAAACTCATAAAGTCATGCCCTCATAAGTAATTAGTAAACATAAAGAGAATTATATTGAAACTAATTTTTTTTTACATTGTCCTACTCAATTGAGAGAGAAATAATACAGAGCAGGTAAAAAGATAACTCTATATATATACTTTTTTTTTTTATTATGTACTTAATATTATTTTCAGCCTGCTCGTTTATGCATTATTCTAACGGCGAAAAGAAACTACATAGTCTTTCTTTTCATACAAAAACAAAGTAAGAAAATGATAAAATAAACAAATAGTATGATTAAATAAACATTTATAATAAAACGATATTATTTTTTGTATATAAAATTTACAAAGAGATTGAAACAAAAAGAATTTTATGGGAAATATTACATATATATTTTACTAAGAGATGTATATATAAAAACTATTAACAAAATCTATAATGAAAAAAAAAATCGTGACATATCTTTTTGTAAAATCCACCAATACAGAATATAAATGCATATTCTTGTTGAAAAATTAAATAAAAATAAATGTGATGAATTTATGAGCGCAGTAGTTGGCACAGTCTTGCTGTATGTTCTAAAGGTTTAAGTAGCTGAGAGTAAGTGTTTCTCCTCTTTCTTGGATGTCGACGGATTCTTCGGTTTTATCCAAACGTATATTTACTGTGGAGATGTTTCACAGTTGTGCCAAAACACGTCAAAGACGCTGACTGTTTTATCACTAGAATCATGATAGCGTTGACACGAAAAAGTTTTTGAATCTAGTCGGGGCCAAGAACGTTATTTCCCTAAGCTTTTTCAAGTGTTTTTATTCCAGTTTCTTTATGTGTGTTGTAAATAAAGGGTGAAGCAAGTTGTCTATGATAAATACTTGATGTTTTTCATTTATTCCTTCTTTTTATACTGTGGCATTCCTTGTAGAGTATTAAGTCTTCCTCACTGTGAGCTTTCTTTTGATTTGTCGTTTTATTCCAAAAAACTTTTTATTTTTTGACACTGTCAATGTGAATAGCTTAATTATTAATATAAAATCCAATCAATCTTTGAAAAAAGACATGATTATTATATAGAGAATAAGACATTGTTTATGAATGCACTACTGTATTGAAAAATTGCCATTTGAGCTGTTGTAATATTTGATTTTTACTTGTCTAATAGTGAATTGTGCTCTTTCTTTCTGTACACTGTTCAAAATGTCTTTTTTGGTTTTAAACGATTCGATTTGTCTTTTCAAAATAAGATTGGTATGGAAATATATAGAGTAGCGCTTAATTAGAATGCAAAATCAATGGCCTACTACTTTAAACAAAATCTATTTATGAAATAATACCAATTTTATACAATATAATTCTAAATTCAATTGACAATTAAAAAACTAAAAACTATAATCGAAGGTTAAGAAAATAATTGCTGGTCCAAGCTTTAATGTTTATCATACACTCTTTGGGAAACAATTGTGTACAAATGAATTTAGTTTTGTTAATTAATTTTTAAAACTATCAATATCAGTTCGTCTTCATTCTAGACGCACAACATACAGGAATAATTGTGTAATGGATGTTTAAATTATTTCCAAATAATTGTAATCAATAGTTTAGATGTTATAATAGACATGAATACTTGTAATGATTTGTCCGTAACCAGATGAAATAAATATATATATATTTAAATGTAAAAAAATGATTGACTATAAAATAGGCAATAAAATGTATTAATGTTTGTTAGTGTATGAAATAATTTATGGTGTTTTTTTATTGAGATGTTAAAATTCATTATTTCTATTGAAATGTTATGAGTTTATGCTTGTTAATTTTTATCTAAAAGTTACCAAAGATATATTATTTACAATTGTTGACATGTTTATATTTAAATCATATATGGCTATTATTTATATACTTTAATCTCAAAATAAAGCACAATGAATTTATACAAGATGTTATTTATACACCTTCTCTAATTTTCACTCATTTCAGAAATGAGAAAATGTTAAATATTTTACAATTAATTAAGGTTTTTAGTTGAGATAAAAAGTCAATGGTACGAGCGGGATTCGAACCCACGATTTTCGGCTAGATACGCCCCTGCTCTACCACTTGAGCTATCTTGACCTCGATCCACTCGGACACTACCATCTTAACCACACCTTTTGAATTTTCCCTCCTTTTTCCTATTTTTCAAATGTCGTGTAATCTATTCGATATTATGAGCCAATTACAGATTAATTAATTGAAAGATATTATTTGGTACTAGTGAATTATGAGCAAAAGAGAAAAGCGCGATTTCCGATTACTTTTGTGAGACACTGAAGATACATGAGACAAAATGTGATTGTTTTGTTAATTTTGGCTATGAATTTAACTAATTAATCTTTTTATAAGGCATTGGTTGAGATAAAAAAGTTCATGTCACGAGCGGGAACCGAACCCACGACCTTCGGCTCCCAACCTCCCGTATCAACCCACCTTTCGAATTTTCCCTTCTTTTTGCTATTTTTCAAATGTCGTGTAATCTGTTCGATTCTGGGCGACAAATGATATTGCCACGGAGAGTTTTCGTAAAGATATACTTCATTTTACTTATAAAATTCATTAGAGTTCGTGGTTCGATTGTCCAAATAACGTTTTTCAATTAATTAATGTTTAAGTAAGGTATTGGTTGAGATAAAATGGCAAATAGGTGGGAAAATTCAAAAGGTGGGGTTGAGATGGGAAGTTGGTGTCCGAGTCACGATAGCTCAAGTGGTAGAGCAGCGGCGTATCTAGCCGAAGATCGTGGGTTCGAATCCCGCTCGTGACGGTGACTTTTTTATCTCAACAAAAACCTTAATTAATTAAAAGATATTAATTGGCCAAGCGGACCACAAAAACTAGTGAATTTAATATAATAAAGGTTGTGTGCTGCATGATTTTATGAGCAAAAGGGATGGAATTAACTTGGGAGCTGCGTCATGTATTGCATAGTACATATGTCGATTGAACTATTCTGCTACTTCTTCTAAATCATGAAATTTATTACAGTTGTCTGAGGGGTGATAAACCAGTTATTTTATTCTTCCCGATCATTTTGGTTTGCCTATGCTTTCTGTATGGTCTTTCTGACACGTTTCAGCATATTGCCTTCTCTATTTTGTCTGTGTGATTTCATTTCAAGTTACAAATTTTTATAATATAATAATAACAAATACTTTGTTTGACAAATAGTATATATTCCCTTTTAAAATACATAGGTATTGCAATGGATTATGATGAAATATTGATTAAAAAAAATAACGAAATGGCCAATAAAATATAATAATATTTTCTGTGTTTCATAATATAATCAGAGAGAAAAAGAAAACCAATAAAATAATCGGGTGAACACAGAACAAGATAATTTATACACAATTAATTAAGTAAAAATTTCTTCTAATAATCAACAATTAAATTCTTGTACCAATTCCCAGTCGCAAAACTAGGCAAACGATTGAATTTTATTGAAACAAGAAGAATTTTTTGAACTTTGAAAGTAACAGGATTTCCCTAGTAGCAACCCAGAGAAGAAGTTTTAATACTAGGAAATTTCTTTTGTAAGTGACAAATTGAATTAAAAATATACGTTAATATATTTGAGGGGGTGGGGTAAAAAATTCGACTTTATCATTTATTAAAATATGTATTTACACATACTGTGCTTCCTTAATTATTTTTTTCAACACTGAACATGTACAAATAGAGAAACCAGACACAGATTTACATAAAAACAACATGTAGGAAATATTTTAATAACCATTTATCACTTGATTACACGGTTTTATCTAAACTATGTATAATTCTCATTGTTCGTTAAAAAAGAAAAAAAAACTGCCAAAAGAAACCGCAAGTATCGAAAAAACTTTTACTCTTTTGTATCTAAAATATGGGGACATCTTACATACAAAGATATGTTTCACGATAAGTAAAAAATAAGTGTACAATTTAAAAACAGTCTTAAACATGACGTCTTCACAAATTCTTTTCTGAAAAAAATGCATGATTAAAACTACATAAAATCAATTTGCATATTGCACAAATCCATTCACAGGCAGAAATGACTAGTATATACCGGGTACGTCAATCGCTCAAAGTTAAAAACAAGGATCACAGCTAGAATCACACGTGCTCTGTGGTATGCGCTGTGATTTTAGCCAAGCAGGGTAACTATCAAATATCAAAATCAGTCTCTAAAACACATTATTACTAATCAAATATACCATTGAAAAACTGAATTTAAACAAAGTTTATTATTATGTATTTAAATTGATAAGATATATTTATTAATTATTCTTATTATGTTTTCACAATGGTCAAAATATTTTGTAAATGATTTTAAATATTTTTTGTCCAGTTACAAACTCATGTCAATATTTTATACCTACATTAAATAATTAAATGTCAACTAAACATCAAAACAGCTGATTTTCTCTCAAATAAAATGGAAGACAATAAAGGAACTATTTCTATACCATTCATTCTTAAGTACAATCAGCTTTTGGATAAAATATAAAATGGAACGTCCTATTCATTGACATTTCTTATTTTCAACTGACTAGATAATAATAATTGGTCCTAAATAATGTTATTCAAATATATATCTTGTACATTTCAAAACAGGCACAGAGTCTTTTGTCACTCAAACATTAAAAATTCTTATACAATATGTACAGGCGTGAATATAGAACGCCGAGTCTAGTCTAGAAGCTAACTGCTGAAAAAGTGTTTAACACACTTCCAAAATTCAAAAAAGTCACTGTGTTACATGCACGGTTGGTTGTGTCACCGAACTACCCCTCTTACAAAACAAACAGCTAAGCAATTTATACAAATGCTGACATTCAAGAGACTTAAAACTAGAACACTTAAAAATCGTAGAGCGATTTCTTGATAAACGAGTCGAGATATATTTAGGAGTCTTTAATTATTGTTTGTATGGTTTCGCCTTGCTTGTTGATATGGCTAAAAAGTGATTATTTGTTGAAATATGCGTTACGAGAATGTACTTGGACGATTACTGTAGATTTGTTCCACTCTTGTGTTTTGTCTTCTTCCTTTTTTTCCGATTCTTCTTCTTCATCGTCCGCAAACTTGATCCCATCTTCGTTCTCGAGAATGTTGTAGTAATCTCCGCTTCCGGGGGATTTTTCCACACGAGTCTCTTTTTCCTTTTTAGGATATTGGTGCACTTTAACTGGAGACCCCGAGCCACTTTTCTCGACCAGGTTGGCGGCGCTGTCATCTTCTGTGCTGTACAAGACTCCGGTTGATAACGCCCTATTGGAAACAGACCTCACAATGCCTTCTTTGAAAATGCTGTCTGTTGATTTAGAAAGATCTTCATTGCTTCCCTTGAATTCAGTCTCATCCCAAACCTAATGAAAAAATAAAATAATTATCCATTTAATTATTTTAATGGAGAGATTCTTTTCTTTTTCAGATTGAGGAAGGTGATAGATAGGTAGGTAACAGATAGGTAGATAGATATATAGATACAGAGATAAATTGATAGAAAGAGAGAGGAGGAGAGAGAGAGAAAAAAAGAGAAGGAGTGCGAGAGGTACAAAAGGCAATAGAAAGATGGAGGAGAGAAAGAGAGGGTGAGAGAGAGATACAAAAGACAATAAAAAGAGTGGGAAAAAGGGTAAAGGAGTGAGAGAGATAAGTAATGACAGAGTAAGAGAGATAAGAAGGGAATAGAAACAGGTGGAAATAGACGGAGAGAAAGTGAGGGAGTGAGAGAAGTAGGTGGAGAGAGAAGGAGAGAGAGGGGAAGGAAGAGAGAGAAAGAGTTAGACAGAGAATGAAAAAGATAGATAGAGGGAGGGAGAGAGAGAGAAAGGAAGGAAGAGAAAGAGTTAGAGAGAGAATAAAAAAGATAGATAGAGGGAGGGAGAGAGCGAGAAATAGGTAGAGAGAGAGAGAGAGAGACTGAGAGAGACAATTTGTTAGAAATTGAGGGAGTGAGAGAAGTAGGTGGAGAGAGAAGGAGAGAGAGAGGAAGGAAGAGAGTGAAAGAGTTAGAGAGAGAATAAAAAAGATAGATAGAGGGAGGGAGAGAGAGAGAAATAGGTAGAGAGAGAGAGAGAGAGACTGAGAGAGACAATTTGTTAGAAATTGAGGCAGTGAGAGAAGTGTTATGAGAGAGAAAGAGAGACGAGGGGAGAGAGAGATAGAGAGAGAGATAGATAGAAAGAGAGAAAAAGAAAGAGAATGAGAGAGAGAGAGAAAGAGAGAGAGAGAGAAAGTGGAGAGATTTTCCTACCAGAAATACCATATGCGATAGGGAATTTATTTTTTGTATTCTTTAAATAGTATACATTTTATGTACAGAATTTTGAAATAAAAATTATTAAATCCATTATAACTCGTGGTCCGATTGACCTAATAACGTCTTTTAACTAATTAATTTTTATGTAAGGTATTGATTGAGATAAAAAAGTCAGTGATATGAGGGGGATTCGAACCCACAACCTTCGGCTAGATACGCCGCTGTTCTAATCACTTGAGCAATCGTGACTGTATCTATAGTGGTTAGAACAGCGGCGTATTGAGCCGAGAGAGAGATAGTGAGTATAATAAAGAGAAAGAGGGAAGGTGAGTGTGAATGAGCGTGAGAGTGAGTTTGACAGAGAAAATAGGAGATATAGAAAGCGGGAGGAATTGAGAATGAGCAGGATTGAGAGAAAGTGAATATATATAAGAGAGTAAGTACAGGAAATGTAACTTAAATTTGGAAACAATGACATGCAGACAAGCCTTCATCCAAAGAAAGTCCTTTGGGGAAAAGAAGGTAAATTAGATTGCTTAGGTGGATTGATCATCATGTACTGTGAAACTTACTCCAGGAGCAAAAGGCGGTATCCACAGGCAGAAAGCTGGATCCATCGCCAAGTATGAACCTGGTACTGCGTTCTGCACGTTATAGTCATAATAGTCCATTTCTAGATCCGGTCCGTTGAGGCTAAACTCTGACCCGGCGAGAACCCTTTCCCTGTTCCTTTTTTCTTTTGTTTCTTTAGAACTCGCTCCAACCACTGAAGGAGTTGAGCCCTAGAAAATATTGTTATCAACATGAAATATAATAATAATTTGGAAATTGATCTGAAGTACCTTGCTGAACGAGAAAGTGCTTACGTTGGTAAGGGTAGACGACTGGCTTGAACTGGCACTTGGTCTTGAATCGTTCCTTTCTTTCCGGAACACCCGAGGGGATGCAGCCTCGATTTCCATTTTGTCGCCGTCTTCGTCTTCAGGGCCTTCAGCGACCGGGCTCACTGGCGACATAAACTTTCTGTTCTTGAGCAGTCTAATTTGTCTCCTAGGCAACTGAGGAGTCTTAGGAACTTCTAGACTCGTAGGTCTTTTCTCCTCGCTCAACCTCGTAGTCATCTCAGTTGTTTGATGTTTGACTTCCTCCGTTTCTTCAGACTCGTCCACCCTTCAAAGTTAACACATTAACTAATTATTTATCACTTATTTATAACTCAAGTGTAACGCTATAAAATTTATTGTCAAGATGTCGTGAAATGTGAGAAAAAATTTTCAGTCATTCTTTAATTGGTCTATGGGGGGGGGGTTCAGTGACTGAATTTTAAGGTGTCCCACTCGTATTTGCCGGACTAAAAGTTCTGGGTTCAAATCCCAAAATAAATAATAGAATTTTATGTGATAATAATCTGGAAAACATATTGTGAAGTGGTTTGACCCCTCATACACGAGATCCAGGGGTAGTGGGAAGTTAAGACCTACAAAACTAAAGCTGTCTGGGCTTAGAATTATATAGGATAAGAACCACATTTATTGGCTTCATATGGCACGTCAAACTTATGATCAGGGATAAGGCAGTTTGAAAGAAGGAAAAAACACTCAGTTCTTTTTCCAAATTTTCGACGAATGTATCCTACAAATCCAAATTATCAATTATTTTATTTTTAAATATTACCTGGTTTCACCGGAAGCATTTTTCTCCAGTAACTCGGTGTTTTCCTCAGACAGCCGAAAATGTTTATGACCTCTGAATCGTTGCAGGGATATGACATCTGAGAGTAGGGTGGAGCTAGACGTCGCCCGACTCCTTCCGACCGCTAAACTCCCGCACGAATTGTTATCGAAAGACTCCATGTCATCAGCTGCCGATGCCAACTGGTATTTGTGGTATCGGTAGATGTACTGCACTCCTAGACACGCCGATGCTACCACTGCCATCAGCAGAGTGAGCGCCAGCCCTGCGTTCACGAGACCGCTGCTCGTCCAAAGTTCGCCGCTCACAGTCTCCGCCACAACAGGGCTTGTGAAATTCGTCTCCCTGCGGTCTAAGAAACACGTTAACTTTTGTCAAAATCGGCTGAACTGATGTAATTTACCAATTTGTGATGCATGTGCGAGAAATCCTCCGCTGCACTCGTCACCGCTCGTGATGTCGTCTCCTGCGTTAAATTCTATAAGAAGTGAAGAGGAAGAACTGACGATCTCTCGCACCTCCAGTGGAGTCCCTGACAACTTGCCAAGGAGTTTAGCAGAAGAACTGTCTCCATCACGTATCTATAATTTATTCAAATAATATTAAAATGCTTGTTTTTATGCAAGAAAGCCTGTACAAACCTTCAATGACTGGGAAAAACAAGGAAGCCTGAACTGCTCCATGCTGAGGCGGACACTTCTGTTTCTTTCAGTCTGCAACACGTACATCAGTTGAAGTTTTATGTCTTCAGCAAATAAATTTTGTAGGTGAGGAAACAAAAACAATAGTAGGTAGATTAATAGGAATAAAAAATTAGTTGGTCTTAAATTACAGAAAAATTGTACACAATGAAAACATATATTTCTTGAAGTCAAGAAAAAATAGTTTGCCGCCGCCTCCCTGTTCTTCCTTCATTCATTGTTGAAAATTCTTTAATATTATATCATCCAAGATGCCAGCAATTAAGGACAATCTGCATTTCATATATGCATTTAAAAGTTTAAAAATTAAATGTTTTAAAGCATCTTTTCTTGATGTACGTAATATTTCTCATAAATCGAATAAGCCGGAATACGGTCTGTTTCTGTCACGCCGATAGAACAAAGCGCTGGTCCTCAATCATGCCAGACAATGTCAATCGGAGTAAAGGCCATTAAGAATCGGGTATGCATCTGACACACTGTCAAATCACCTGGATCAGCCAGAACGTCCTGCCCGGACAGGAATGCGACGATGCCGCGATGAGGCGACGCGTTTTTCCAGTTCCGAGGTGAACGATGCAGCCGCACCTGCAACCGGGGCCGATCTCGGCCTTCACCTCTGGTCTGTCTGCAGGGACATCGCCGCTTCCCGTGTCTGGGTAGTACCTGCAGTTCCAAGCTCCCGCAACACCGCAATTCTCCGTCTCCAGAGCATGGCCCTGTAAAAATAAATAAAATTATACATATATATGTAATATCTTATTTAACTCCATGTAGTTGTAAAAGTTAAACAATGTTTATAAATTCCAGGCCCTGAAGATGGTCTCAGTAAAGATCGAAACGTTGGCACGATAAAGAAAATGTTTTTCTGAAACCTACGTCACATCAGATCGCATCTCACGATTTCCGAATAATCATCGACTAATGATCACTAATCACCACATATAATTTAAAATAGTAAAAAAAATATTTGACTTTTCTATCTCCTAAATATTGTTATTTGATTTAGTTTGTACTGAATCTTTAGATGTTAATAATTTCTCTAGGTTTTTGACATTCTCACAAAAACTGTGGCATTTTGTTACGAATAATTTGAATATAATGTATGTCTTATGGTGTAACGCTGTTTTAATGTTGTGCGCTATTTAGCGACCGATTTTTCAATAACTTGTTGAAATAACGAGGAGCGGTCAGGAATGAATTATTTTGGGAAACCACATTTTTTTCATAGTTTCATTTCACATACATGAGCAAATAATCAAGGTAGGGGCTAATTGTATTGAATGTAAGTAATTGTAACATCGTAGATCACATGAAATATAATTTTAAAAAATGAACAGGGAATATCTCACTAAATCGTGAATAAAACCGATATACTTGAGAGCCAAATAAGTCCTTGTTCATTAGTAGGCCGTCAATTTGGCTAAAATTAGTTAAAAAGGGTGAAATTCCCCGACCCTTCTTTTATCCCTTCTCGTGTACGACTAATTGACAAGTTTATTAAAAAGCTTCTATCTATCTTCCATGAATATTCACGCTCAGTCATGACAGTGTTTTACTTTTATTAAAACTGTGCTTTTTCATCATGGCGTAGAAAGGCATCCGACCTCTCCTGATGTATTATGTATGTGGAATATTGAAAATTGTGGACACAATTGGGTCGAATTGGGTCGAGAATCGTTTTAATTTATATTCGCCAATTAGCCGATTGTCTTATTCGTGAAAGCCTATAAGATCTGGGCGTTCGTTAGTAGACCAATATGTAGAATCAGGGGGAGATATAGAAATGTTGGGCAGAGAGGACAATTTGTAGACATGACCACGTGGTTTAGCTATTCTGTAACCGCACAGGGGTTGCTTTGCATTGGAATCACCACAGACAGGAAACGCGGGATAATGCACTGGACAAATGTTAAAGAAAATAACAGGTCTTTATATTGCCATTGTCCATTCGATTACTTCTTAAAAAATTTCAAAACTAAGACAGAAATTAGCCTGGAAACACTACATCTTTTGTCGGAAAGGCGATTCTAACGTCTAAAGAAATGAAAGAAACCCTCAAAAAATGCTTAACTACTTAAGGGATGTGAAATTTCTTCAATGAACTGGTAAAGCGGGGATGCGATACAACGGTATGCGACGCTACCCGATGATACCCGTAGCAAATTGTATTACCCCCATGCACAACTGCCCATGCTACGCAACGCTACCCTACTCTACGCTCTGCGATCCCCACTGCCCAGATTTTCGCCGGGTAGCATCCAGAGTCCAGTCGAAGACAAAAGAACCGGACACTTATATTTTTATTTAAACTACATGTATTATTGTTGTTATATTAATTACAACAAACTTATTTTAATATAAACCAATTTAACCGAGATCAAAAATTCATTAATAAAAAATTAAATTTAATGGTTTGGTAAAAAAATAGATCAAAACACCGGAATGCCATTTTTTGATATAGTGAATTTAACTAAAAATTTACTATTTTTCTTTTTATTTATTTTTTATTTTTTATTCAAACTACCTGTATTATTTACGTTATACTAATTACGACAATCAAATCAAAAATTCATTAGTTTTTTTTAAATTAATTTTAATGGTTGAGGAGAAAATTTATCAAAACACAGGTATACAGTTTTTTGATATAATGAATTTAATTAACAATTTATTACACAGTTTTGCTTATAAAATTTAACTAACAATTTATTTCATAGTTTTGCTCACAAAACTACACCATTTTCGTCGAGTAGCGCCAGAACAGGACACTCATATATTTTTAAGTTTATTTCAAACTATGTATATGTAATTTTATCGTATTCATTACAATATTCTAATTTTAATGACAACCAAATTAAACGAGATCCAAAATTCATAAGTTTTTATAAAAATTATTTAATCGTGATGGTAAGGAAGAAAATTTATCAAAACACCGGAATAACTTTATTTAAAACAATTAAGTTTTACAAACAATTTATTACATGGTTGTGCTCATAAAATTTAACTACCAATTTATTAAAGCTTTTGCGCATACAATTACACCATTTTCCTCGAGTAGCGCCAGAACAAGACACTCATATTTTTTTAAGTTTATTTCAAACTAAGTATATGTCATTTTCTCGTTATATCAATTACAACATTCTTATTTTAATATAAACCAAATTAAACGAGAGCAAAAATTCATTATTTTTTATAAAAATTATTTAATTATGATGGTTAGGAATACAATTTTATCAAAACACCGGAATAACTTTACTTAAAACATTTAAATAAAGTTATCAATTTATTTCATGGTTGTGCTCATAAACTTTAACTACCAATTTATTACATGGTTTTGCTCAAAATAATGCATTAAGAACAAAAGAGGCGTTGAGATTGTGATACTGATTTGTGATACACGCTGTGTGACTACGTGGCGTGCGCTTAACGTCGCATAGATATGCACACCCCACCAAAACGTGACAAGGCGTCGGGTAGCATCAAAGTAGCGTCGCATAGCGTTGCATCGGGTAAGGGTATTCTCCGCTTAATGCAGTTTTCTGAGTTTGGAAATAAAGATGGGCCTATCCAACAATAGATTTTTTTAGGTTGCGATGGAAAAAAGTGAAATATCGGTCACTAATAAACTCGAAGAAGGAAGAAAAGATTATTAATACTCATGTTATTCCAGTTTTTCAGTTTTATTACGACTGTTTATTGGTTTCTCGATTCTGTAGTAAAAGGTTTTTAAGTTATTAATCGAAAGTATGACAGCATAAGGCAAATAACTAGAGAATCCAATTTTTAATTAATTTCTCGACATTTATACTGTTTAAAGAGGGCGTTCAGGCGTTACATTGTTGAAACGAAAGTTCTTCACATTCGTACAAGCTAAGCGTGAAAATCACATCCACTATAATTGGCCCGAATAAACGGAACACCCTTTTTGCAAACACGTTGTAAACGATCTCCTTGAAACTCAAACGCAAATGGAAACGGCTTTGTTTTTCTAATTTGTTTGTGACATTTAAAACGGACAATCGCATGTGTGGGTGTTTGTTTGTGTGTGTGTGTGTGTGTGTGTGTGTGTGTGTGTGTGTGTGTGTGTGTGTGTGTGTGTGTGTGTGTGGGTGTGGGTGTGTGTGTGTGTGTGTGTGTGTGTGTGTGTGTGTGTGTGTGTGTGTGTGTGTGTGTGTGTGTGTGTGTGTGTGTGTTATGACAGATCCCTTTGCGATGCGATTAGAAGAAATCTTAAACCTTTTTAGATTAAATTACTGAGTAACAAACCCTCATTAAACCTTTATTGGTAGCATTAAATTTAGCAAATAATTCCAATCAGTTAAAGCTTAATTGCGTTTTTTAGTGCTACATAATTTTCTTCATAAATTATTAATAATATCAAATATATGATAAAAAAGTAATTAGTTTAATTTAATTTTGATATAATTTTGTAAAAGCCATAAAATTCACACAGATTTTTAGATACTGGGTCAACCTTTTTCTATCCCCTTCCATCACTTGTATTTAGCTGTTTATTTTATATTAGAAAATAATAATAATAAACTATTATAGGGATGGCCGATTATGTTAGATTGAGACAAACAACACAGGAATAGATAAAAAAGAAAATTTTATTTAATTAGGAGGGTTAAGGTTGGTCACAAAGCCAGGTGGGATGTTGAAGGTGAAGTCTGTGCTGGTGGGTAACGACGTCGAAGGTGGAAATTGAGGAAACGTGTTGGGATCAGATCCTTCACGAATGGAATTCATTCGGTTAGTGGTGTAGAAGGGAGCAGTTCGACCGCGAAAGTCCAAATCGGTCTGATGGGTGTTTTGCTCGTTTCCGCATAGCTTGTGCGTTGTGGGTTGGAATGTGTAGATATGTCAGTAGTTTAGATGAATTGGACCTAAGATACTTTCTCGTGTAATGCCATCTTTTATTGGCGTAATGGGTGCAAATCGGTGCCGATCCGATAGGAAGGACTCCATAAAGAGATAATGGTTCTAAGGGAGGTTACCTTTCAAATTATAAAAGAGAGCGGGATGCCACACTCGGCCGAATGCTTCCGCTCTTAACCAAAATACGGTTGGGAAATACTGTTTGTCTTCTAGAGCCGAGGTTATCGTGTCGATTACTCTGAAGCACTACTTAGTAGTATGGTGAGAACGGAATACAAATTGATAGTTGGAAATTGAGTTATCACAGTTAAAGTTAAGTTTTAGCTTTACAAATAAAATAATTAAACTTAACAGAAATACTGTACCTCGCAAAATTTGGCACCGTATCTGGGCGGAGGAGAATCGCAAAATCTATAACGATTCCTAGTCCCGCTGCTGCAGGTTGAAGTGCACTGGGTCCATGGGCTCCATTGTCCCCAGCCTCCCGTTTCCCAATCTGTAAAGAATAAACATCTTTTACGTTAATAGTTGTACAAACGTTATTTAAATTTATACTTTATATATAGCTATATTTCATCTAGCATAGAGGAAGTTTTTTGTGCTCTAATTTCATTGACTTATGACCCGACCTACAATTGGGGTCTATTTTGCCGAGTCCATTAGGGAGCTGAATTCTCATTTATATAAGCATTAAAGCGGGTGTTCCTCAGGGAAGCATACTTAGCCCATTTCTATTTTCAATATACACTGCAGATATTCCTAGACATGTTAACATTTCAACACACACATTCGCTGATAATACGGCGACTCTTACACGTAATTCGGACCCCTCAATTAACACTCACCACTCACAACAACACCTAAATGAATTAAAAGTATGTTTCACAAAGGACAGAATGAAGATAAACCTAACGAAAAGCGAACTGATAAATTTTACCTCACGTAAAAATATCTGTCCTGCAGTGAGTATAAATGAAATCCCATTGCCTACCACTGACATTGTGAGTTATCTTGGACTTGTCATGGTTAAACGACTTTGCCATCCCCACACATGACTGAAAAGACAGCAGACAAACCGACGTTATAAATTATTAAAAATACTACTTGACCCACGACAATCATTAGACCTCTGTGGGCGTACGGGTGAGAAGCGTGGGGCTCCACCAAAGATTCCAATTCCCAACGTTTCCAATCATTCCAATCTAAAATTATCCGTTAAATTATAAATGCTTCTTTTTATGTTTCAAATTACATATTCATAACGACCTACACATCTCGTTTGTACATAAACTCATCGAAACCCGCTATAAAACATTTCATCAACCACTGAACACATACAGTAATCTTTAGTACGGTATTTATCACTTCCAACCCTACCTTGAAATCCTCCAAGACGATTGAAATAAAAGTCTTCCCGAGAACTTCTCATTGAGTGAAGATTGAAAAAATTTAAGTGGAAAGGCCACTGGGCAATCTCTCATGCAAGACACTCAAATGACAAATTCAACATACATATTTACTCAGTACAATATTTGTAATTATTTGCAGATCGTGCCAACGTTTCGATCTTTATTGAGATCATCATCAGGGCTCAAAGTGTCTGTTTTCCGTGTAGATGTGTCATTCTTGTCTGACGTGTCCTCTCAACACTTTTACTCCCAATACGACACACATGAATGATGACACATATACACGGAAAACAAACACTTTGAGTGATTACAAATACTTCAGTTGAGTTCTAACATTTTCTAGCATTGAATAAATTGATTTTTTTTTTCATAATTTTTGTAGAATTGTATAAATTCATTTTTTTCCTACATCCAACATTATTTGTTTAATTTAAACAATGTTACAAATCCCAGGCTCTGAAGATGATCTCAATAAAGATCGAAACGTTGGCCCGATACAGAAAATGTTTTTCTAAAACCTACATCACACAAGATCGCATCTCACGACCTCCAAATAATTATCTCAATTAATTAATCTGTACTTAAGGTATTGATTGGGATGAAAATGTCAGTGTCACAAGAGAGATTCGAACCCACGACCTTCGGCTAAATACGCTCTGCTTTACCACTTGAGATATCGTGACTTCGATTCACTGGGACAACAACTTTCCATCTCAACCTCACCTTTCGAATTTTCCCTCCTTTTTGCCATTTTTCGTGTAATCTATTTGATTCTCGGCGACAAATGAAATGACCACGGAAAGCTTTAGTGACGATATACTTCACTTAACTTATTAAATTCACTAAATTTCGTGGTCCGCTTGACCAAATAACATCTTTCAATTAATTAATCTGTATTTACGGTATTGGTTGAGGTGGTGAGGTTGTGATGGGAAGTTAGTGTCCGAGTGAATCGAAGTCACGATAGCTCAAGTGGTAGAGCAGCGGCGTATTTAGCCGAAGGTCGTGGGTACGAATCCCGCTCTACGCTGACTTTTTTATCTCAACCAATACCTTAAATACCTATTAATTAATTGAAAGATATTATTTGGTCAAGCGGACCACGAAAACTAATGAATTTAATAAACATCAATCTTGTATTGTTAAGGTTTAGTGATGATTTTCTGTTAGAAGAGTTGCGTAGTTTGATTTTTCGTCAATAACCTTTAACCGATAACCATGTTATGTTGTTTATGTCTATTTGTTATTTTTCGTTCTTCCTGGTCGATGTACTTGTCTCTTTGCATGTTATGTGAATATGCTATCATTTCAAGAGGGTTGATTTTATAACTTTGTATTAGAAAAATATTTTCTTTATCGTGCCGACGTTTCGATCTTTATTGAGATCATTTTCAGAGTTGAAAGTGTCTCTCTTTCGGACTTTTGGAAGAATGACACATCTACACAGAAAACAAACACTTGCACACTGAAGATGATCGATTTCAATAAAGATCGAAACGTTGGCACGAAAAAGAAAATGTTTTTCTAAAACCTACACCAGACCGCATATCACGACCACCAAATAATCATTAACTAACGGTCGCTAAACACCACACAAAACATTTGTAGTTTTAATATCAAATAAATGTAATAAAAAATGTATACTTAAATAAAGAAAAAAATATCATAAAATCTTGTAAAAGAAGAAGTTTGACGAAAATAACTCTTCGAGCACGCTCTTAGCAAATATTTACTTAAAATAAACATGCTCAAAGCAGCGAAAATAGCAAATCCTGTTATCTTCCATAAAAACTTGAATACTACCGAGATCAATTTTCTATGTAAATTTACAAATATATTTTGTGTTTAGCTTTACCTAATAACTCAATTATCTGGTCGCCAAACAGGCTAACGAGCACGGATCCATTTTGCTAAGTCGGATTAACCATAGAGTTTAAACTTTAGGGCAATGCCGATGGATTTTAACGGTTTCCTACTTAAATATCCTGGACATTATCGCGCGAGTCTGCTAATCTGTGTTGATGATTAACAACCGGCCCAAGAGACACAAGTCCGGGTGTGGTTGGCACAGTGGCCACTCCACGTGAAATTATTGTCCAGAAGGCCCACTCCACAGCCCATCTGGACACGGTGGAATTTGGGTCGCATGTACGTTTCTCACTGCTAATAGAGGGCAACATTTCCAACGGAAACCTAAATCCACTCAGAATCCTCCGTTTCGCAATTTGCGCAAAAAGCCTCGAAATTTATCGCGGCTTTTATATCGCTGACGTATTTCTTGTTCTATTTGTTGTTAGATCTTTCAAGGATGTCACTTTTGTCCTGACACATGTGAAATTTCTCTGTTACGGGTACGATACACAAACAAAAAAACTAAACTAGAAAACTACTAATACAAAGCAGTTATAAAATTAACCCGCTTGAAATGATAGGATATACACATAATATGCAAAGAGACAAGTAAATCGAGCAGGAAGAACAAAAAATAACATACAGATCCAAAAAAATATAATACCGTTGTCGGACATTGACGGAAACTCAAACTATGCAATTTTTCTCACAGAAAATCATCACCAAACCTTAACGATAGCAGATGGAAATTATTAAATTCACTAGTTTTCGTGGTCCGCTTGACCAAATATTATCTTTCGATTAATTAATCGGTATTTAAGGTATTGGTTGAGATAAAAAATTAAGCGTCACGAGCGGGATTCGAATCCACGACCTTCGGCTAGATATGCCGCTGCTCTACCACTTGAGCTATCGTTACTTAGATCCACTCGGACACTTACTTCCCATCTCAACCTCACCTTCTCTACCAATACCTTAAATACAGATTCCTTAATTGAAAGATATTATTTGGTCAAGCGGACCATGAAAAATAGTGAATTTAATAAGTTAAATGGAGTTTATCTTCACTAAAGCTCTCCGTGGCCATTTAATTTGTCGCCGAGAATCAAATAGATTACACGACATTTGAAAAATGGCAAAAAGGAGGGAAAATTCAAAAGGCGGGTTCAGATGGGAAGTTAGTGTCCGAGTGGATCGAAGTCACGATAGCTCGAGTGGTATAGCAGAGCGTATTTAGCCGAAGTTCGTGGGTTCGAATCCCTCTTGTGACACTGACTTTTTATCCCAACCAATACCTTAAGTACAGATTAATTAATTGAGATTATTATTTGGAGGTCGTGAGATGCCGTCTTGTGTGCCGTAGGTTTTAGAAAAATATTTTCTTTATCGAGCCAACGTTTCGATCTTTATTGAGATCATCTTCAGGGCCTGGGATTTGTAAACATTGTTTTAATTCCGTGTATATGTGTCATCATTCATCTGTGTCGTGTTGGGAGTAAAAGTGTTGAGAGGACTCTCAACACGTCAGACAAGAATGACACATCTACACGGAAAACAAACACTCTGAGCTCTGATGATGATCTCAATGAAGATCGAAACGTTGGCACGATAAAGAAAATGTTTTTCTAAAACCTACATCATACCTGACCGCATCTCACGACCCCCAAATAATCATTAAGTGACAGTCAATAAACCCGACATATTGAGATTATTACAGATCAAACGACGTACACATAAGGACAAAAAATTAACATATTTGTGAACTTGGAAATATATGCACCACAACAAATTTAACGCTAAAAAAACTCACGAGCACACAAATTAAAAATATTCCATAGACATATTGAAAATATTATGTTATTAAAAAAGGACAAGGACGGACGATCATAAAGGCCAAAGAGAACAATTAAACAATCACACAAGCCTCATGCTGAAAGTGAGAAAAAGGCGAAAAGTTTTAAAAAAATCGGTAACCGCTAAATCATATAGGTCTGTCTGTTAAAATATGGCAGTGATAGACCAGCCCTTGCATGATCCGCCAAAACCGCCGACACAAAGAAAGGTCGTGAATTATCGCCAGGACAAGTTAGTAGATTTACATCATGCCTCATTAAATAAGTCATATTTAAATACTATTTCACACCCGGGCGTGGCTTCGAGCTATCGCAGCTGGGGTGTAACGGCGAGGGGTGGTTAATGAAAATTAGTTCCCCTGAGGGTGAAATATTACCCCCTT